TAAAACGTTAAATAGGGATTTGGAACAGGAAATGTTGGAATATGATTACAAAAGCGAAAAAATAATTCTTGAACAGAGTCAGGTGATCGTCGAACTTAAAAACGAAATACAACAATCATTGGAAGAATCTCTGAACATATCCAAAAATATATTAAAAACTACTGTAGATATAGGTACTCAAACAACATTTTTAACCCAAACAAACGCGAAAACACATTCCATTGAATGCCAAAAGATAACTGAAAACATCAACTCCAGTAAGCAACCAGAAAAATGTTCCCACATGCAAAGTGAAACTATACAAACAGAGCTCAGCGAAGAGCAAATAGAGGAGGCAAGAATTTTAAACGCCCTCATAAAAATAAATATTGGAAAAAGCACTCAAACACCTATATGGCCTGATCAATGTACAGAAGAAAAATCAGTTAACCACACACCTATGAGATCCGAACCAAAAGTGGATACAGGAAAGCCCCAAATCCTACTGCTGACGAATACAAAATTGAGAGGGGCAAGCACAAAATTTAAAGAATATACAAACAATGGCTTTGACATCAATAGACAATATATCCATAAAGGAACATTTGATGACCTGATCGCACGCTCCCAAAATTACATACATAAAATGAAAACACAAGATGTCCTACTACTGTTTGTGGGACCAGAAAATGCAATTAAAGACAAGGGCATTACGTCAACCGAACTCCACAATTTATTGAAAAATGTAAAACTGGCAAATGTATTTGTTGCTGCATGTCCATTTTCAAAAAATAGACCAATTTTGAATAAATTCATTAAAAAAAACAACCTAGAACTGAAACAGGCAACAAAAAATTCTAACATCACTTATATAGAAACACCAAAAATAGTCAAAGCACAAACAACAACTACAACTATCTGTTGGGAACACCAATGCTTTAACAACCTAATTAAACATGTCTGTGAAAAGCTATGTACCACTGAAGGCAACACAAAGATCCAGGACACTCCAAGAAAAGCTGCATTGAATGAAAATAAAGAGGTTGAGCTACGCCTACAGAAACTACGACAAAATACAAGCTATAAACAGACACCGGTGGAACAAGACAAACGTATCAACGTTATTCAAAACATAAGAGTAAAATCGCCCCGAAAAATAAAGCAAAGCATGCCTGAAATGCAACAAACTCAAAAAACGAGTCCAGTTGCAAGGAGGAATTGTTTTTTTTGGTACCCAAGACATAATGACACAGGATGGCAACCAATGGAATGCTCAACCCAGGCTTGCTATTGCAAAAAGTAGACCGCAGAAGAGCGACCAGATACTGGGTATTTTCCATCAAAATATACAGTGTTTGAAAACTTCGACGCTAGAACTGGAAGCACATTTAAAAACTCTGGAAAATTATCAACAGGTTTTATGCATGTCTGAACATTGGATGAAGCCGGAAGAGGTTAATTTGACGAAGATTCGAGGGTACAACATGATTGCTCACTTTACCAGGATACACAGTATAAGAGGAGGAACCTGTATCTACGTTAAAGAAGAACTAGAAGATTTTGAAGAGCTGAAAATGTTTGAAGACTATAACATTGAGGGCAACTTGGAAATTTGCTCAATTATCAGTAAGATTAGGAAAGTAGTAATTTTTTGCATATATAGATCGTGTTTGGGGAACTACAATATATTTTATCAGATCTTTGAAATTTTGGTCAGAAAGGCTTCTGAAAGGTTCAAAAACTACAAAATTGTCTGGGCGGGCGATTTTAACATCAATTTCTTAACACAGAATAACTATTTAACAAGAGAAGAAATAAGAAACAGAAACGAAATGCTCGATCTATTTGGAACATATAACTTTCACCAAACAATTTTTGACATAACTAGGCCAAATAAGAACAATAAATCGTGCATTGACAATATTTTTGTGAATTCACAAAATTTCTGTAATAATTATGTAATAAAAACAGGAATAGGTGATCACCATGCTCAGACAGTATCAATAAATATAAGCAGCATTTGTAAACTTAAAGAGTCTTACTTTACAGGCAGAACATTTTCTATTAATAAACTCACTCAATATCAAGAGACAATTAAAGATTGTACATGGGCGGGGGTATTTCGGGAAAGAGAGGTAGATGGCGCATACAATTCATTCATCACAACAATCACTTACTACCTCAACCTAATTTTTCCAAAGAAAAACAAGGAAAAATAAAACAAATAGCAGTTACAACTGGATTACTACAGGCATAAAAACATCCATTAAAAACAAGAGAACAATATATGAACTCTACCTATCAGGACTTGCAAGTAAAAGCTTTTATAAAGAATACTCCAAAATACTCAAGAATGTAATTAAAAAAGCAAAAAAACTCTCGAACAAAATGCAAATTGAAAATTCAGAAAATAAAACTAAAACTACCTGGAATCTCATAAAAAAAATCAGAAACGAAAAAAACAAAGATCAATCAATTTTCAACAACTTTCAAGAAAAAGAGACCCCCGAATTTTTAAATAAAGTTAATTCGTTTTTCCTAAGCTCATGTCAAAATTTAACTCACAACTCCAAACCTGAAAACAGTAGCTGCTTATTATTGAATAAAAAAAGCTTTGACTTTAAGCCAATAAACCCTGAACAGGTAGAAAACATCATCAAAGACCTAAAAAACAAAAAATCAGTTGGCACTGATGAAATTCCAGTGAGTCTACTAAAGCAGACTTCAAACATAATTTCAAAACCTCTTGCCTATATAATAAACCTCAGCTTTGAAACGGGTAAATTTCCATCTGCCTTAAAGTTTGCAATTGTCAAGCCTTTGTATAAAAATAAAGGTGAAAAAAATGACCTGAAAAACTATCGCCCAATTTCGCTTTTAAACAACATCAGCAAAATATTTGAAAAAATAATGCATCAACAAATGACAAATTTCTTGGAAAGTGAGCACATCCTTTCAGATCAGCAAAACGGATTTCGAAAGGGTAAATCAACGATCAGAGCAATCTATCAAACAATTAAAAAAATAATTGACACATTGAACAGGAAACAAACAGCCGCAGCGCTATGCCTAGACTTGACCAAAGCTTTTGACAGTGTCCACCATGAAACTATGTTAAAAAAACTGGCTGCATGTGGCATAACGGGCATGGCTCTGCGTCTCATTGAATCCTTTCAAGAAGGCAGATGGCAATGCACAGAGGAGCTAGGAAAAGATGGACAAAAAGTAAGATCAGAATTTGAACTAATCAGCAGGGGCGTCCCTCAGGGAGCTGTTTTGTCTCCTCTGCTCTATATTTTATACACCAATGACATAACAAATATTATACAAAACGACAACATAGTACTATTCGCTGGCGACAAAACTGTTCTATATGATGAACAAAATATACAAGCGATAGAAAGAGGCATTATACACGACTTAGATAGATTGACAGAATGGTTCGAATCAAACAACTTAACACTTAATATAAATAAAACACAACTGATTCACTTTAGACCCAAAAACACAGAAAAATTATGTGTAATTTATGGAGGGACGGAGCTAGGCGCTCAAGACAGCGTCATGTTTTTGGGTGTTGTCTTGGACAAAAAATTGTGCTGGGAATCTCACATAGACAAGCTTGCGTCAAAATTAGGTCAATATTGCTATGCACTTAGAATTATTAGAGACACAGTGTGTCTGTCTGCTTCTCTGACTTCCTATCACGCCTTTGTACAATCACGTGTAAGATATGGTGTCATTTTCTGGGGTAACTCTACATACGCCGAGAGAATACTTGTTCTGCAAAAGAGATGTCTTAGAACAATTTTAAAACTAAATCGCAAACAAAGCTGCAAAGCAAATTTTATTCAGTATAAAATTCAGACAGTCTACAATATCTATATTCAGGAGAGTATTGAATTTGTTATAAAAAATCCAGATCTATTTGAAAACCAAAGAATCGAGCACAAATATTACACAAGAAAAAAGGATAATCTAAGAACAGATATACCTCAATTTAGTTATTTACGAAAAAATATAACTTTTAATATTATAAAAATATGGAACTCTTTGCCTATCACACTGAGACAAATGCCTAACAGAAAAATTGCGGGAAAAATTAGGTTGCTTCTGGAAAATCGTGCCTACTATAGTGTTAACGAATTTTTCGAGGATAAAAATAAATCAATTTTCTTGAACTGATCTAGACAGAATGCTCTGACCAATTTTTTGGATATCTTCATGTGTGTTTATGTTATTTTCTCGGTTATTTTATCATTAAAAATTTTTTTTTTTTTTTTTCCTATGTCTTCGTCATAAAAGTCGCATAATATTTTAGATGCTTATTGTTATAAGCTTGTATGTGCATATGTTAGTTTTAATCTTGCAGTCTAATTATTTTATTTTATTTATTATTATTTTTTTAATTTGTCTGTCTATTTTTTTTTATATTGACGTGATCTACACCTGAAAGGGTACAAACAAAATGTATTTTTATATTTTAAAGAGATCAAATAAAGTGAACTGAACTGAACTGAAAAATTATATTATTATCCTTGTTACACAAAGACCTTGTTGAAGGTCTATTGCCTGACTTATTGGTAAATCTAGTTTAGTATAAAATAAAGTATAGGGAAAATAATCTAAAAGAATTGAAAATGGTTGCTAGATGATAAAATCTTGCTATACAGTATACGGGTTAAATTGCACTTTACACATTACTGTCAAACATGCAACAAAGTAAATTTATAAGTACATATAAATACTCCAAGTACTTATAAGTATGTACCTGAAGTATGTATAAGTACCAACCTATGAAACATCCAAATACTGTACCTATAATGAAAATAATATATACTGCTGCTCATACTGTATTTTAATGTTACCTACTTTAAGTAAAATACTTAATACTTTATGAATGTAGGTACTTAGTATTGGGCTTGATACTGTACCTTATTTTTTAAAGTATTAAATACTTACTACTTAATACATTTGCTGAGTACTCGGCTTTGTTTGTACCTACTTATCAATAAACTTACCTTTGCAAAAGTCCATAAACATGCCAGCAAACGTGAGATTTCAAATCGTTTCTGAGACCACGACGCACATGCTCATAGGCCTCCTCTTTACGACCCAAACAGTTAAGGGTTAGGCCTTTCATAGCCAGAGTTTCTAAAACAAAGTACACTTCAACTTAGAAGGTCTAACTAAACTAACCCAAATCAACCCTTTTGCTCAGGAATGTGAGGACATAGTGAGAGAAAAGTTAATTATAAAAATCATTGAATAAATTATCCACTAACCTCCATGTTCCTGGAATTTTGCGTTTGTCAATATTTGTTTGGCAAATTTCAACCCATTTTTGTACTGTTTATGTTCGTAGCTTTTCTAAAACATAAAAAATAAAACTCCTACATCGAATATCCACAAGCAAAGTTATAAAAGCAAGACAAAAATAGAATGTTTCAAATAATAACTTGTAACTGGGTGCAAATGAAACTTATTATAGTTTAAGGGGTGCAAATATGCTCTAGTTACTATAGGCTGCAAATGTATCAAGCCCCAGAAGGATATAATTCGAAAAAATCCATTCAGTTATGCATTATGTACATTCCATTCTCGGTCTTGGATTTTAGAGGCACTCGAACACTAACCAAAATCCTTTTGAATAGTGCATTCTCTTTGGGCGGCAGAGGATTACTCGATGGCATCGCGGTTACTCACGAAATTGCAGATTTATTGCCGGTAAATAACAAATTTTTTTTTGAGAGAAATCAAAACCAGAAAAACCTCGTGGCCTCAAACCTCTATTTTTCCCAATGTCGATCCGCGCGTCACGTGACTAAAGGAACTGACAGACCTGTCAGAGTTTGAAACGTCAAATTAAAAATTAAGGAAACCGGTGACGATAAAGTAGAAACCTGTAATTTCTACTAATGTTTTTATCTTTTTTTTTTTTCGTTTGATAAAAAGAGAAAGCTAATTGCCGCAAAAATTGTTAAATTTAAAAATTGTTTATAAATATAAATAATTAGTAAAAAGACAAGATTGCATACTTAAAATATATCTATATAATATATAGTTTCAATTATAAACTATAAACATTTTCAGCATAAATATAGTATCGTCAATTTCTAATTCCACTAAGCTAAGTTGTTTCATCATTTTTTCTATATTTTCCAAAACTTCCTTCTCAGGCGGAGTAATCATTTCTTCAATCTAAAAATGCTAATATATAAAAAAAAAAATTGATTTATTAGAACACCCTTCTTACATCTGCTAACTGTTCCTCTGTAGCTCCTTGCGCCCTCATCCCCATCAAAATAGTATCAACCCTTTGTTTTTTATCGATAATCCTTTTATTGAGTTCTCTTTCATAATTCCTCCTTGTAATATGATTAAATTGCACTTTATAACACAATTCCAGCAACATTCTCACTACATTTTCCAATTGGATGTGGAATAAAGTAAAGTTTTTCGTTGGTCCATTGTTGCTGCTTGTTTTTCTAAGTTCTTGTATATGCAAGAAATTCTCTTCATATAACTGATAAGATAACTTTTTGGCATCTTTGGCAGGAATCATGGCAAGCTGTTGAATTCGATCGGGTTCAATGTAAGGTTTTTCTTTTACTAATCGGAAAATTCGAGCCGCTTTGGAATTGTATTTTGCCAGAACGGTTTGTTCTACAAGTTCCCAAGCGAATTGGGTGAAAGCTTCTTTAAGGTAGATTTGATAGGAACCTCCGCTTGCTTCGCCTACTTTTCTTAACAAACGACTATTGTCTTGTTCTGTAAAATAATAACATTAATTAAAAGCAAATGTCAATGTTTTGAATGATCCAGGACATTCATTTTTTTTCTATCCCAGGCTCTTGAGTTTTCTTTATTTCAACAAATTTAAGAGGAGGAATAGACAAAAATTTAGCTGAAAAAATTGAAGAAAAGAGAAGAAATTTAAAATTTAAGAGAGAATTTGTAGACAAATAAACACTCTCTATTCCAAGCTTTTGAATTATCTCTATTTCGAAAAACTTATCAGAAAACGAAAATTCAAGAGCCAGGAATAGACAAAAATTCAGATTAGGACCGAAAAACTGAGAATTGAATAAAGAAAAAATGTAGAAAAATTGAAATAAAAATGGTAGATATATTTAATTCTGAGTTTTTTCGTCTCAATTTTAATCTATTCCAGGCTCTCGAATTTCCTTTATTTTCACAAATCCAAAAGCCAAGAATAGACAAATATTGAACTGAAAAAATTGAGAAATAGAGAATAGAAAATAGAAATAGAATAGAAAATTTGAGAGAAAAAATTAGTAGACAAAAGAGCGCAGAGTAGTTTCTACTCCAAGCTCTTGATTTTCTCTATTAATAGAAATTTAGAAGAAAACGAAAATTCAAGAGCCAAGGATAGATTAAAATTAAGACGAATTAAATAGAGAAGTATAGAATAATTGAGAAAAAAATTAATTATGAGAAAAATTAGCACTAGAGCAGTTCTTTATTGGTCCTTTGACATTCAAGAAGGGGAAATATTGTATCGATATTTTCCCATATCAATATCGATATAAAAAAGAAGTAGAGGTTGGAGAAAATATTGTATTGAATATGGATAAGTCCTCCTCTATCTTATAATACCAACACAACAAAGTTGCCACGTTTTGCCTTGATTCTCTGGGAATTGTGTTGAGTGTATAAAAACTTTCATTAGAATATAAAAAATAGATAAATTTACTAGAAGATTTGGCAATGCCGCTTTATTTGCATCCTATTGGTCAGTAGGTGTTTGTACGTCATCATATGGCGCCAAATATAATCCTTTATTTGAAATGTGCATGAAATAAGTAGACTTTTAAAACAAAATACCAAGGAATTATTTGCCAAAAATGTGGGGAATTTAGAGGAATTTGTGGGGAATTTGACGCAACTCATCGGAATTTATGAGAATTTAGGGAATTCGGAGAAATTTATGGGAAATTTGGAGGACTTTAAAGGAAACTGTAGTCATGACGTCACTAAGGTTCACATTCTTATTATAAGAAACACTAATAAATGGAAATTTTGAAAAAATGAGTACAGTTTTTATGGGCTGATTTCCAAGATTCTTCATGTTGTTATTTTCCACTGGAAAATTTTGAAATTTTGGGAAAATGAGTTTCTAACCTTCCTCTTCACATGTAAAAAGTTTCAAATTTTTCCGTTCCCTAGTTTTCCAGGAAAACTTTGAAATGTGTGAGACGATATTTTCAACTAATTCAGTTTTTGTAAGTTGATTTCCAAGATTTTCCATGTTATTTTCCTCTAGAAAAATTTGAAATTTTGGGAAAATGAGCTTCTCAGCTTCCTTTCCACATGCAAAAAGTTCCAAATTTTTCCGTTTACTAGTTTTCCAGGAAAACTTCAAAATGTGTGAGACTGTATTTTCCACTAATTCAGTTTGTGTAGGTTGATTTCCAAGATTTTTCATGTTGCTGTTTTTCACTTGAAAAATTTGAAATTTTGGGAAAATGAGCTTCCTCTTTACATGTAAAAAGTTTCAAATTTCTCCCTTCCCTAGTTTTCCAGGAAAACTTTTTAACCAATTCAGTTTGTGTAGGTTGATTTCCAAGATTTTTCATGTTGCTGTTTTTCACTGGAAACATTTGAAATTTTGGGAAAATGAGCTTCTCACCTTCCTCTTTACATGCAAAAAGTTTCAAAATTTTCCCTTTACTAGTTTTCCAGGAAAATTTCGGAATGTGTGAGACTGTATTAGAAACTACTTCACTTTTTGTAGGTTGATTTCCAAGATTTTTCATGTTGTTGTCTTCTACTGGAAAAATTTGAAATTCTGGGAAAATGAGCTTCAAACCTTTCTCTTTAAATGCAAAAAGTTTGAAATTTCTCCCTTCACCAGTTTACCAGGAAAACTTTGAAATGTGTGAGACTGTATTTTCAACTAATTCAGTTTTTGTAGGTTGATTTTCAGATTTTTCATGTTGCTGTTTTCCACTGGAAAAATTTGAAATTTTGGGAAAATGAGCTTCTCACCTTCTTCTTTACATGCAAAAAGTTTCAAAATTTTTCCTTTACTAGTTTTCTAGGAAAACTTTGAAATGTGTGAAACTGTATTTTCAACTAATTCAGTTTGTGTAGGTTGATTTTCAAGATTTATAATGTTGTTATTTTCCCCTGGAAAAATTTGAAATTTTGGGAAAATAAGCTTCTCACCTTCCTCTTTACGTGTAAAAAGTTTCAAAATTTTCCCTTCACTAGTTTTCCAGGAAAATTCTGAAATATGTGAGACTGTATTTTCAATTATTTCAGTTATTGTAGGTTGATTTCCAATATTCCTCATGTTGTTATTTTCCACTAAAAAAATTTGAAATTTTGGGAAAATGAGCTTCTCACCTACCTCTTTACATGTAAAAAATTTCAAAATTTTCCCTTCACTAGTTTTCCAAGAAAACTTTGAAATGTGTGAGACTGTATTTACAACTAATTCAGTTTGTATAGGTTGATTTCCAAGATTTATCATGTTATTTTCTACTGAAACAATTTGAAATTTTGAGAAAATGAGCTTCTCGCCTTCCTCTTGACATGCAAAAGGTTTCAAAATTTTCCCTTCACTAGTTTTCTAAGAAAACTCTGAAATATGTGAGACTGTATTTTCAATTATTTCAGTTATTGTAGGTTGATTTCCAATATTCCTCATGTTGTTATTTTCCCTTGGAAAAATTTGAAATTTTGGGAAACTGAGCTTCTCACCTTCCTCTTGACATGTAAAAAGTTTCAAAATTTTCCTTTCACTAGTTTTCCAGGAAAACTTTGAAATTTATGAGACTGTATTTTCAATTAATTCAGTCATTGAAGGTTGAAAGGTAGATTTCCAAGATTCTTCATGAAGCTGTTTTCCACTGGAAAAAATTGAAATTTTGGGAAAATGAGCTTCTCACCTTCCTCTTCACATGCAAAAAATTTCAAAATTTTCCCTCCACCAGTTTTCTAGGAAAACTTTGAATTGTGCGAGACAGTATTTTTTATTAATTCATTTACTTATTTTCTACTGAAAAAATTTGAAATTTTGAGAAAATGAGCTTCTAACCTTCCTCTTTACATGCAAAAAGTTTTAAAATTTTCCCTTTACTAGTATTCCAGGAAAACTTTGAAATGTGTGAAACTGTATTTTCAATTAGTTCAGTTTTTGTAAGTTGATTTCCAAGATTCTTCATGTTGGGGAAAAATTGTAACTATGGAAAAATGAGCCTCTCTTTACATACAAAAAGTTTCAAATTTTTCCTTTGGGGGAATTCGCGGAAATTTGGAGGAATTTGCAGGGAATTTAGGGGAATTTGTGGGGTATTTGGAGAAATTTGTGGAGGGGTATTTGGAGGAATTTGTGATAGGGTAGAGTAGAAATCAAACGAGAAGAAGCCACACGCATTATTGTTTGTCTCACTTTAAATGGGAGGGACCCAGAGAAAAATAAATCTGCTTCCTTTGTTAGCGCTAACGACAGTGGCTTCTTCTCGTTTGATTTTTACTCTATCTGGAAAAATTTGTGGGGAATTTGGAGGAATTTGCAGGAATTTTGAGGAATTATGCGTAAAAAATTCCCCTTTGAGGAATTGTTTGCACAAATTCTGGGATGGTGGTTTAGGTTTACCCCTTGCAAAATCATTATCACTATGAATATTTTTTTTTGAATTATTTATATTCTAGTGACGAGGGGTGTTTCACCTACCCAAAAATGTGTACACCACTGCCTAGGCAATTCAAACCACGTGACTTTCAAGATGGCGTGGCGGCCACACATGGGCCAAAAAACGGAAAAAAATATCTAGAATCTGCTCGATTTATTAGTTTAGGTACCTAGTCAACAAATATTTTATTAAATAGTCCAAATCAAAGTTGCAAGCAAAACTCTAAGCAAAATCATTTGAAATACACATAAAAACACACTCAAAACAAACTTGCTTGGCCGCCACGCCATATTGAATTTCCCTATCTGACAGATGGATTGAATTGCCTAATGCCGACAATCAGCCTTATTCACGTGTCCGCTTGTTTATTGAAATTTTCCAATATTGGATATTGAGACATCTCAATATTGAATACATTTCTTATTCACGTGTACCCCTTGAAAACGGGATTGTTGGAAATTGGAAAACTGTTATTTAATTGAATAAGTAAACGCGGCAACACTGTAAAATTGTCAAAAACCTCTAAAATGTAACCTCACTTTTCACTTTGTTGTTTATTTACAAAGTTAGTTGTTTATGAGTTGAGTTTATTTATTTATTTTACTGTCTGATTTGATGATGGAGAAAAAACGAACATCGAAAAAACAGTTTGGACTTTACATAAAGTTCGTAAAAGAAAATCCAGTTTTAATTACGGGAAAATTGCAACCATCCGGCAATCCCAAAGATCTGGAGGTGTTGTGGGATGAATTGAGCAAAGTCCTCAACTCCTGTGGGGACGGACCCATTAGGGAAACAGCTTCCTGGAAAAAGGTAAGTAATCAACTTTTTAATTAATAACAATAAATATTGAAATTTGTGTCCTTCAAACAAATGTAATTTATTTTGGACCTATTTAAAACACAATAATCTTAGGCTTGCTTGATGTTTTTGCTGCTAAAAATGACAAAATACAAAAGTACCACTGACTTGCAGATATAAGTGTATCGTGTATCTACTCTTTACAACAAAATCTAAAAAAAAACTAAGAAAACATTTATTTATAGTTCATCATCAATATAAAAAAACATTATTGTTCATCCTAGGTCTTCACTGAATGGAAAAGTGCTTCAAGGAAAAAGGCAAGGGAGAACAAACAACTCTCAGAGCTGGAAGAAGAAATTCTTACAATAACAGGTCGGGGTGCTGTCAGTGGTTTGGATGTAAGAGAACTAGGAACTGAAACAACTGAAACAGAAGATAAGTTGCCCAAGAAGGAAAAAATTCAGAGTGGCCCTTCTAAAGTCAAGGTATGCGAAACAAAAAACAATATTTTTCTTATACTTGTGATCCTGAGCACCACCCTTAAAATATTATTTACAGTGCTTAGATAATATTGTTGGACATTCAAGTGATGAAGCCAAGGATGAAGCTTCATCTAGTAACAGTGAGCCAAAAAATGTTCACAAGGAGAACATCCCAAAGACAAGTAAGGGCCATTTTTTTTTATTATCGGTTAAAAACCTGTTTATATTCCTTTCTGAGTTCAACGTTGCCAAAAATTAGGTTGCATTCAATTTTTTATTGCTGTTTTTTTTCTGTATATATATGTTACAGACCTTACAGAGCAGACCTTCTGGACCTTTTGTTTTAAATTATAGAGCCAAAGAAAAAACGTACAGGGGATGTGCTTTGTGACACATATGAAGCAGCCACAAATGAGACCTGTGAGAAATTGGAGGGAATTAGCTTAGCAATATTAGAAGTAGCCAAAGCTATCAATCGTTATTGTGACATTGTCGAAGCTTCCAACCAAACAATAGAATATGTAGATGAACAAAATGCTGAGGAAGTAGAAGACGAGGATAATTATTAATTAATAATTTATTATTAACCATTGTAGTATTTATAATCCTAGAGACCCAAAGAATTTATTTTTTCGTTTGTTGTATTATTAGGTATATTCTGTTATCATTATTATTTTGTGTTTTTATGACACATTAATAAATTTGGTACGTGTTAAATATTTTATTTCATATAGGTAACTAGAACTATATTCTCTATGTTCACAAAAACAATTTTTTGGATGTTTCTTAACACAATTACTTTTGGAAAACATAGTCAGTTTAGTTATGCATTTTAAAATTAATTACTTTTAGGGACTTCAAAAATGAACTATGAACAATATGAGATGTATATAGATTATTTGGGGAAAAAAGAAAAGAATTTAAGTCAACTATGTGAACATCTGAATGCAGTACCTGGCGGCTCTAAAAAAAATTTACGTGAGTGGCAAGAGGTATGATAAGTTATTGTCAAGTTAACATTATAAAATAAACCAATCCAAACCATGTTACTAATTTCAGTAATTTTCAGGCATTTTCAAATTGGCAAAGAGCTGTAAAACATAAAGCAAGAGCGATTTACGTTAGTCAACACCTCACAGGAGGTGGATTCCCCACACCCAAAATATTAACTGTTTTGGAGGAAAAGCTTTTGTGTATTATAGGTATACTGTGCATTCATGGCATGTTAGTACCTGAATTAGGATTTAAAAATCCGGTATGTATTTTTTCAAGAAATGCTTCGAAAGTCTACTCTCCACTTTTAAATATCTATGTGTTTCAGAATCCATCAAGAAACGTTATTAAAAAAAAGAGAACTCCAAAGAAAACCGTAGTATACCAAATCAAGAAGTCTAAAATTAGAGAAACAAAATTACAAAAAAAAATTCTTTCTTCCTTAAAATATAATGTAAAAATGGTAAAAAAAAAATTAAAATTACTTGTTGAATCAGTTTGGAAGCTGGCATATGCAATGAAAAGAATACTAAAATTATTGTTAGACAGTAAGTTCAGTTTTTAGTATTAAAGTCTATGGTATTAAGTATGTATTATTTTTAAATAAAAATAAAAAAGTACCTGAAGATCCTGATTTTTTATGCTCCATGAATTCAGTTGCCAAGCGATCTAAAAACTAGGAAGGAATAAAAGACTTTAGTGAATAAAATAAAAATTTACTTAGGTACCTACTGAATTATTATAAGGTTACCTATAGGTAGTAATATTTTACAGATAAAAATCGTCAGTGCCCTATTAGCAAGCCTATTGGGTATGTGGAAAAAAACTGTATTCTATGCTATCTATATTATAGGTACTACATATTGTAAAAATAATCTCGAATAATTCTATCTCTAATTATTTGTCCTTCATTGCGATAATTTTGACCTAAATCTAAATTATCCATGTCAATAATTGGATCATCATGCTCCATCTGATCTCCATTAGGTTCATCCATATCATCAATGAAATCTCTTCTTTCAATCAATATGTTGTGAAGAATGGCACAGGCATTTACCAACTTTGCACTTTTTACTGGGCTATAGTGAAGTGCCCTATGACCAAAACAACACCTAAATCTTGATTTTAGTATCCCAATAACCCTTTCAATAAGGTTTCTTATTGTTTTAAAATTGGTATTGAATCTTCTTTGTCCCTCATTCAAATTGTTTCCCACTATTGGTGTAACTAACCACGGCTCTAGTGGATAACCACTATCTCCAAGAAGCCAAGAGGATCTGTCACCATCCAAAAAGTTTTGCATCAAATGCATTCTAGGTAAACTTGTGCTCCATACAGCTGAGTCATGCACACTCCCTGGGTACCTTGCATTGATTGCTGAAATTTTGTAATCTGCACCACATATTAATTGTACATTTAAACTATAGAAGCCCTTTCTATTATAAAATAGAATTCCAGGAAAAACTTCATCTTCAGCTGGAGGAGCTTGAATTTTTATGTGGGTACCATCAATTATCCCAATGATACCTGGAATGAGAATGTCAATCATTAGATAAAAGGAAAAATGGAATTTCATTATTCCAAAATCATTTTCAGAAATAAAAAGTGTAGGTAGGTATTCAAAATGTTTGACTTTGATCCTAAGCCCCACTTTGAATGCCTCCTCCATTTACTAGTGACTAGTGGTAATTTTTTGTTCGAGAGTGAATGGAGAAACAGGTGAAAACACTTTTTGCAAGGACACAAACAGGCAGCTGGAAAGTTTTTTTAACATGCTTCTACAGAGATTATTCATAAAAATCGTTTACCAACAGCAGTTATCATCATCATTAGTATTCTACTCACCTGGAAACCCATCCAAATTTTGAGCAAATTTAAGCTTTTCTTCATTTTTTTCTTGATCTGTGGTAGGAAAGTGAATTTTGTGGCCAAAATGATTGTTTAGGATGTCAGTTACCAAGTCAAGACTTCTACTGACAGACGCTTGGCTCATAGGGCAATTGACATCTTGTCCTGTGGACTTTTGATAAGTGCCCTGAGCATAAAAATGCAATGCACTTAAAATAATTAGAGATTTTGGGATGCCATGCGGACGTTCTGCATCTGGAAGAAATTGCCCAATTTCCTCAATTAGATATCTTGCAGTATTTTTTGAAAACCTGTAGATATTTTTAAAAATATTTTCTGGCAAATCCAGAGGGTTGCTTGTTTCCCGAAGGTTCTTCTTTCTCTGATTGTGTTCAATTCTAAAAGTATAAATACGATCATAGTTATCCAAGGCACTCTCCTTGTTGATTTTCTAATATACGATTTTTTTATAGCTCATACCACTCACCAGGAATAAAGAGCTTCCTTACCTTCGATTTTCTTCTTCTAATGCTGCAATTAACAACGGAAAATTATCCATAATTGAAAATAAAATTACCACAGTCACTTCTAAATTGTAAACATAACACAAAAACCAATAGATTTCCAATATCCAATCTGATAAGCCGGTGCCTGAACCACCTGCTTACAAAATATGAAACACTGAAAACTGTTATTGGAAAATATGATACACCTGAATAAGAAATTCGATGTCAATTTCAATAACCAATATGTCATTCAATAACCAATATTCAATCCGACAACTAAGGAGCACCTGAATAACAATCCACCATGTTTTTACAGTTTTCCAATAACCAAGGCAATAACCAATATCCAAGGACACACGTGAATAGGGCTGAATGTCGCCATCAATGCCAACAATTCCAATATCAATGCCGTCAATTCTGACTTAATTTTGTCAATTCCGACATCAATGCCGTCAATTCCGACATCAATGTCCATTAATTCTAACATCAATGCAGTCAATTCTGACATTAATCCTAATCCCGCCAACTCCGAGATCAATTCAATGGCTTCAATTTTGTTATCACTGCCTCAATTTCCCTTATTTATCTATTCAATGCCCACAATACCTAAATCAGTACTCTCACTGCCGTAATTATAACCGAAAATTTTTACACCAATGCCGAAAAATTTGTACACCAATGCCGAAAATTTGTACACCAATGCCGATCATGAAACACCCCTCGTCTAGTGATAAAAGTATCAATAATTATTACAAAAAATACAAACCAATAATGCTCATGTACTGATCAAAAAAAGCTAATGCATGCGTTTGGTGCGATTGCCTTTTCAAAATATCTTTAATTTCAATACTGGGAATTGGATTGGAAACGTCCGCCCATGGTTCAGTTCTAACGTACATTTGTCTCAAAAACAATCTAAAATAAAGCAAAATTATAAAATTATTTATTTAAAACTGGAATACCTACTTAATAATCTCGCCAGCTTGAGCATCAAATTTATTCTCAAACGCATTTACAATAATATGATCTCTCATGTCTTGATGGAACCTATCGAAATTTACTGTCCAATAAATATTTGCATCTGGCAAAGTCACTGAGTTATTTTCTTGATAAGCCACTAAATTTTTTATGTCAATCTTGGGCAAAACATGTAATTCATTTTCTTGGATAATCAAACTAGGAACTGCTTTAGTTATGTCAGGAGAAGGCAGTCTTTCTAAGTATTTTGATGTAATTAAATACACCAATTTGTCTTTGATGTGAGTTAAAGTGGGAGGATTGACGTTATTTGTTGATAGTCTTTCGTGGACTTTGAGGATTAGTTGTGAGGCTGTCCAATAACCTAGAGGAAAGAATTGTTGAATAAATACTTTAAAAAGAGTCAATGTTTAAGTACCCCTTTGTAAAATTTCTTCAATAATCATGGCAGATTCATCCCCGAATTGTATCTTAGCAAGATTTTGATATTTCGGATATCTTAACATCAGCAAAACTTTTTCAGATTCCAAATGATAGTTGGCCAATTTTTCGTTTTTGTTTGGCTTGAATGTAACTAGGCCGTATTTTATTAAGACACATAAAGATGCTTTGATCTATAAAGATTCAAATAGGTTGAGCCATTAACTACTAAAATAGGTTCTTACATTTGATAAGGGCAAATCTACGCCCCTGGTAATAAACAACAAAGGGCTGCTCTGGCTTTTGAACAGGAACGAGCCCACACTGGACACTATAGGGCCGAATCTTTCGGTTAAAATTAACGATATCACTTTGCCAAATGTAACAGACATTTTTATGTTGGAATTATTGCTTCTTCTCAGAAGAAAGTTGCATTAATAATAAATAAATTAAAAATTAAGAAAAAAAATTAATGTAAACATAAACAACACGGTGAAATTATATAAGGTTATGTTATGTTTAAACTATTGTCTTCTTTTTTTTGGATTTAATAGGCAATCCAACCATCTGTCAAAACGACAAATTCAATATGGCGTGGCGTCCACCAAGTTTATTTTGAATATGTGTTTTCATGCATATCTCAATTATTTTCCTTCGAGTTTTGCTTGCAGCTTTGATTTTGATTATTCAATAAAATATTTTTTTACTAGGTACGTAATAGTACATTATATACCTAGGTAGAGAAGTTGGTCATTATATACCGAGCGTACAGTCTAGTCTACTAAAATTTTGCGACTCACTAAATAAAAAAAAAGTAGTCTGTTTTTTTTTTAAAGATAATTCCCCAAGTCAAAAATTTAGTAACTAGGTATGTTGGCAACACAAGCCTTCTCTACATAAAAAATTTGAAAGCATCGACAATTTGCCATTATTGTTTTGCCAACATAATGTCAATTCGACTTTTATTTAAAAAAAAAAAACAGACTTTAAAAATTCCGCTCCGCTTCTACCCTTTGCGAACGAAAATAGAAAATTACCTCAAAAAGGCAAAAAGGGGATAATTCCGTCAAGCTGGCAACACTGCGGCTGACTTGTTATCAAATGCAAGGATATCAACAAAGCATTTGATAGGTTGGATATAAGCCCCGCCCCTTTCCAATCAGATGCGAGTGATATCAGCAGGGCATTCAATTAGTTAGTTGAGCCCCGCCCCTTTCCGGGGTTTATGTATCGTCAAAGTATTTGATTGGTTGTTTCCTTTTCAACCCTTTCCAATGGCTCCGGCCCACCTACAGTGACTTCACCTTTTCAAATAGAAATTCGGTATTGCCGCCATATTCTTGCAAATTTTGAATATGAATATAGAGGTTAGCCACGCCCCTGCCGCCATATTTTTGCAAATTTTTTGATGTTAACTACTACTAGGTATACCATTTCCAATTCCAAGCGGCAGTAAATGACAAACTGGTCATTTTCATTACAACCTATCAAATGTCCTCCCTGCATGGGCACTGCGGTCCAGGTAGGGCGTTTCAACCAATAGGAAGGCTGGTGTTTGTTTACAATTTAGGTTATTAAAATGTCATTTACTGCCGCTTGGGATTGGAAATGGTGTAAGTATATATTTATTTTTCAATTTTTCCATCTCATATATAGGTGCTTGGTATTTGTCTATTCTCGGATCTTGAATTTTCGTTTTCTTCTTAATTTTTCTAATGGCCATCTCCACCAACTTAATCCTAATGCCCGATTGCACCGTCTCTCTCAACCGACGCTTAGAGATAAGAGATAACTATTCCTTAAAGTGACATTTTCCCATGCAAAACTGTCAATTTAAGGGATAGTTATCGTTAAGCCTCAGTTAAGAGAAATGGTGCAATCGGGCATAAGTATTTTAGGGAAGCCCTAACAAGTTGCAAGTTAAAGTGACATTTCTCCATGTAAAAATGTTATTTTAATTGATTTTAGGGAATACTTATCGTTAGGGCTCCCTTAAAATAGTTAAGATTTATAATGCATGATGCGTGTGGTATATAACGACTTTCTCTATCGAGGAATATATAGATTTTTTTTTACTACTGCTAGTGGAAAATTAATAATTTGTAATCTGTGCTTTAATTTTTTTTTTTTAACGCCCTCTTTCTTGAAAGTGGTGCCCTCTATCAATAGCTTATCATAACTTCCTATGTACCTACAAAAACTGTATTTTTTTAAAATTTGACGTATGAAATTGAAATTGAACTAAATGAAAACATGACATACCCAGTGGCGTACCAAGGTGGGACGGGGCCCCGGTGCGAATAAATTGCAGGGGCCCCCCAGTAAATAATTTTCATTATTAACCTAGGTATTTTTTCATTAATAACCTAGGTATTTTTTCATTATTAACCTAGGGAGAGAAATTTAATTTTTTCCTAGAAAAATAGATTGAATAATGACTATTTCTCAGGTTAGTAGTAAAAAACTATTAAATCGGGCATAAACTTGATATTTTTTTGTGTTAATTGGTCCATGTGTGGCCGCCACGCAATCTTGAATGTCACGTGGTTTGGATTGCCTATTTATATGGGCCTAATAGCGATTTATGTTTATTTTGTCCTAATTCGTTAATAATTTTTAAATTAATTTGTTTGGAGTGTTTTACAAACATTTGCGACAATATTGTTATGAAATTCGAAAACACCTTTATTAGGCAATCCAAACCAAGGAGAATACACACTCTTAAAGGAGTGCTTATCGGCCTCGTTTTTGATAAGCGCCGCCATATTGGTTTTCAACTGTTTTCAACCATTGCCTGCGTCATAAGTAAGTCGGCAGCTGTTCAAACAGCTTACGTCAAGGCGAGAAACGCCATGCTGCTACGTCACAAGTGGTTGTTTGGCGGATAGGCTATCCTGTAGTAGTAGTGTGTATCAGGGCGAGTTCTCATGAGCGTAAGTTGACATTTCTGGCGTAATCGCATGATAAAATGGTTGGATTTTATTGGTAAAATATTCGCCATGCTGGAGTTTTTACCAATCAAATTACACCATATTATGACGTGATACGCTAAAAATGTCAACTTACGCTCATGAAAACTCGCCCTCATCCGTGATCCAAACCACGTGACATTCAAGATGGCGCGGTGGCCAAACATGAGCCGCTTTCGGGTGCAGAGTGCGAAGCTCCTGGGCTGCGTTCAGGATTGGCTACAGCCAAGCCAAAATTGGCATTTTGCGTTCGAGTTCGGCTCCAAACTACGTGGTTCAGCATTACCGGTGGAGGGGGAAAAGTAGGTTTTGGCATTAGCATTGTCGTCCTTGAACGCACCCCTTGAACACTTCACACCTGTCAGTGACCTCCATGCGTTTTGCACTCGAACGCTTGATACCGAACGGGTCAAACTGTTGCTGGAGTACTTCTGAGTAAAGCCTAGTACTCATAACTGCGAAATTCGCATTTTTTTGACATTGCGTTGACAATTTGACGTTTTATGCTTGTATCAAACGTCAAATTGTCGAAGCAATGTCAAAAAATGCGAATTTCGCAGTTATGAGTACTAGGCTTAACTCGGGAGCGCTCAAAAGGTGGCACCCGAAAGCAGCTCTGGACTAAAAAACACAAATAGGCTGGTCAGTGTAGATAGTTTTCAGTGACCACTGTCTGGACAGTGCAGTAGTCACTTCCATTGAAAAAAGGAAAATAATAAATAATGGGTACATTCAGGCGGTCCCAGCCGGCTAAAAGTTTAGCCACTCAGCAGGAACTTTATTCTCGAAACGGGGGAGCAGCGTTCTCATTGGAACGAAGGTTGTGTCTTTGTCGTCCGGCATAAAACTGACAATGACAGAGCAATCGTTCTTATGAGGACGCTGTTCCTTGGTTTCGAGAATAAAGTCTCTGCCCCCCGATTTGCAGGGAACAGATGCATGGTGCAACAAACACTTTTCGAAAGGAATTAATCGCGTGAACCCCGGAGCTGGCGCCTATTTTCTTTCTTCTTTTTATCGTGGGCATTGCAACGGATGGTTCTGGGGTCGTATTTTCGAGTATTCTCGCATACGAAATTTGATACGATTTCGAATGCTCCCCTATTTAATTAACATTGCTGTCAATCAAATTTCGTATACGAAATGTACTCGACTGAATTCGAAAATACGATTCCAGGTAAACCGGCAGAGGTATCCACCATCGTCAGTAAAAGTAACTGGGACAGCACTTGGGACAGCAGCATATAAGCTCTTGTACTATTATATGAATTCGATTGTCAAATATTTGTCAACCTATAATTTAAATGCATTGAAATGAATGACAGTAGAATTAGTCCAGGAGATTATTATGCATTATTTTAGTCCCAGATACTTTTGGTGACGAAAACGACGAAACTCTGAACCATGTTCAACATTGAACGGCGGTTCAACAGAACTTGTGTTGAACCATTATTTGTACAACCGGGCCGGATTGGATTGCCTAATAGCCACATACATTTTTAGCTCCAGTTACTGAAGCCATGAACCCTTTTCAAGTGGCTTCGGTTTAACAAACCGCAACATACCGCTCAAATTCGAGTGGTAGGTATTCATCACGTCACTTTGTAACCAGGTTAGAAAACGGCATGTCATTCTCAGAGATGTGCGTCTACACGTAGACTTTCATTGTCTACTTTACGTGTAGACAATGTAGACAATGTAGACAACGTGTCAACAATGTAAAATAATATAAATGACGTTTAATTCTAACCTCACACTTTCCTTTTCAAAAATTATTTTTATTCTATTATCGGTTTTCCTCATATTTATAATCAGTGAATGCTGATATCAAAGTGATAGGTATAAGCTACTTAGGTAGTAGTAATTTTGGAACTTTTTTTAAAATTTTCTAAAATAAGTTTATTGTTTACGTCACATGTAGACAATGTATAGACAAATGTCCACGTAAACAATTCGAATTGTCTACACGTAGACAATCAATTGTTTACGTTGACATTGTCTACAGGCACATCACTGGTCATTCTCTAACCGTTTTGTAACCCGGTTAGTTTAAACCGGAGCCATGTGAAAAGAGCTATGGAGCAAAGAAAAATAAAAAGAAGAATTTTCATGTACCTAACCTAACCTCAAATTTTGGTTGTCATCGATTATCATCATTACAAGCCATTTTTCAAAAAAACAGAAATTAGTTTATTACCAAAATGGAACTAGCTAACGACTGGATGAATGCTGCCCACAGCACAGGAGTAAGTACCACAAAACACTCCTAAATAATCCAATAAAATAATTATTTTCCTTTAGACTTCAATTATGGCAGCAACCTTTGATGGTGGTGTAGTCGTAGGGGCTGACTCCAGAACTACCACTGGGTGAGTATTTTGATGGGTTTTTTAATGAAATTTGGCTAATTTTTATTATATTTTAGGGCTTATATTGCCAACCGTGTGACCGACAAGCTCACAAAAGTTACAGATCACATTTATTGCTGTCGTTCCGGATCCGCTGCCGATACCCAAGCCATCGCTGATATTGTTGGATATCATTTAGAATTCCATAGGTAAAATTACTCAATTTCTTATTTATTAACAATAATAATAATCTGTATAATTTTTTTTCAAAAAAAAAAAACGCTGATTTTTGAAAATTAAATGATTTTAAAATCGAACTTTTAAACTGCTGCAGGCCACGACTATGACGTCAGAGTCCCTGAAAATCAATAAAACTGCGAGGATGCCAAATTTGTCATTAGTTAGTACATAATTCCCAAACATGGCTGGCTCAAATTATAAATTACAAAGCGGGAACTTAGTACATTGCACCATATTTATTTGCATACTTTACTATGTTATAAAGAAAAGAAAAAAGGATAGGTATAATCAGTGAACTTTGGGTCACTGTAAATTCTGGTTACCTAGGGGGGAATAGAGGACGTTTTACCCCTTGGAACTTTTGTCTCCTAATGGTCCTTGGAGATTCCTCAAATTCCATATACTAAATTATTCTGAGATTTGGAGCCAGATTCTATAAAAAAAGACATATTGCTTAACACTCATCTCAAGAACTATAAGTGCAAATGAGCTGAAATTTTCAGCGATTGTAGTTCCTTTATTCAGATAAATTTCAGTGAAAATTTCTCCCTAATTTTGAAATCAATAAATTTTCACTTGATCCAATTATTTCAGCATGGAACTCGGTGAAGAACCATTGGTCGAAGTTGGTGCCAATGTTTTCAAAGAATTGTGTTACAACTACAGAGATTCGCTCAGTGCTGGTATCTTAGTAGCTGGATGGGACAAAAAACATGGTAAAATTTGCACTAAAATGCCTTATTTATAATAAATAATTAATCTCTTGAAGGTGGTCAAATTTATTCAATCCCCATTGGTGGCATGTGTGTGAAGCAAAGTGTTTCAATTGGTGGGTCAGGATCGTCTTATGTTTATGGTTACGTAGATTCTAACTATAAACTCAACATGACCAAAGATGAATGTGTTAAGTTTGTCATTACTAGTGAGTATCATAGGGTCTGTTCTCACAGAAACCACAAACTTATCATTGGTTGAAAACTGGTTGTTGGCGATATGCACCAATCAAAAACAAAAACAGACCTGTAATCAATAATTAACTGAGTTTGTTAATTTTGTATTTTTCTTTTAGCTTTGGCTCTTGCAATGTCGCGTGACGGTTCCTCTGGAGGTGTAGTGCGTGTTGGAATTATTACAGAAAAAGGAGTTGAACGTAAAGTAGTACTGGGAGATGAACTACCCAAATTCTTTGAGGAATAATTAGTGTAATTGGGAGCATTGCTGCTTAATTTTTTTTTTTATTATACTGTATCTTTGATAACCTAAATTCTTGCATTTATTTTTTTTTCCCTTCAAAAATAAATAAATACACCATAGCAATAGACAAAATGTTTATTGTAATCCTTACTTAAATTAGAATTAAAAATACATCTTTTTTGTACAATTTGTAAACCGATTACTGCAGTAAAAAAAAAGCTTACCCTACCTAAACTTGTATACGTTGGGAGTGGCACTTTCTCAATAACAAGTCACCCCTGGGTTAGGCATAACTCCAGGGTAAACATTGGAGTTAAAACTAACCCAGAGGTGATAAGCTATTAAGAAACCGACCCTAGAACTTAGGTGAATGAATTTTGCAAGGGGCAACAGCATGCTGAAAAAAATATATATTCTAAACCTAATAAAGTTAGCATTAGTTTGCCCAATCAAAACGGTTTGTTATAATTATTATTTATCTATATACATAATATAAACTAATGAAAACCACACTAACAAGTATAGTGAGAAATCTAAATAAAATAAGTATGTTTTAAAGCCTACAAATGAAGTTGCAATTTTCAACAAAAATTTACACTGAAATAATAGTCAAATGTCTTTGGAAAAACAACAAATGAAGCCTAGTTGAAATTGTCTACTCAAAAATAAAAATTAAACAATCCATTGGCCCAATCCATCCTCAATCATCAATATATATAAAAAAATAACGTCTTATAATCTTACTCTACACATGACAGACCATATGGATTTATACTTTTGTCTTGTTTTACTTTTGCCCTAATTTATGATAAATAAATAAAAAATAAAACAATATAATTATGATCATCCCAGTTTGGTTTTGAAATTCTATTCACATTATTTGTGATCTTCATCGTGTCTTGTCCTATCCCTAAGCCTTTTGGCTGGAGGTTCGTCAACGTCTGCATCTTCAAGTCCAGGCACTTGTATTTTCGAATCTGAAGCTTCTGGAGGCTGAAAATAGAGATTGTGTTTGTTACAGGAAAAACTACAAAATAAAAGTAAAAGAGGAATTTAAGTCTTTATTGGTAGACGCTCAACATTTTTTGTTCAATGTACAGGGTGGCCCAAATTCGAGCCTCATCATTGGGATCTCGGTAACCGTAAGAGAGACGAAAACGTTTAAATTATGGCAAAGTTGGGCAATTGGCAATTTTATTTTGGTTTTTTCCGAATATCTCCGGAAGTACTCGGAATCTTCCTAGTTTCAAAACAGGATTCTTTTGGTCATAAAATTTGGCAACTTTGCCATAATTTAACCGACCCCGTATCTCTTACAGTTACCGAGATCCCAATAATGAGGCTCGGATTTGGGCCACCCTATACAGTGTGTCCCATTTTGGTTGTCCATAAGAGATAACTGGGTTGCTATTGGAGGTAGAAGGATGCGGTTTATTTATTTATTTATTATTTATTTATTAATCGAAAAGGTGACGACGGTTTCTTATATATATTTTTACGTAACTTCCAGTGGCGTAGTCAATTTTTCTCTAAAAGTGATATTTTTCAAATTATGAACCAAACATACGTTTTTTCAAATGAGACACCCCATATATTATAAACTCATTAGATAGCTCTGCTTTTCCTGATTTCAATGATATAAAATTCGATAGGTTTATCTCTAACAGTTTTCGAGCAAATAGTACATTAAAATACAAGTTTCATAAGACGTGATTTTATCGCACGAGCTCTATATTAGAAAACGAGCCGGAGGCGTATACCTCTTATGGGTTTTTGGTTTTCTGTCAAACTCAATGAAATTTTGATATGTGGTATAGTATTTGTAATACCCATTTAGAATAACCCTATCCTTATTAATTTATCAATCACGAATCAGATGAAACAAAAAATTACCAACAAAAACGAACGTCGATTGCTAATACGTCAATTTCATGTACAAATAGGAAATTCCTGACCTAATTTTATTTGTGTGTCAAGAAGCGACATACGTTTTGTCACTAGAACTTAGAGCAGGTAAAGCGCTGTCCTACGGACATAAGGAGTAGGAACGCTCCATTCTGCTTATGAAACTAAAGTGAAGCCAAGTTTTTGGCAGGTGTTTGGCACCAAAATACAGGTAAAGCATTGAATTGCCATAACCGCCATTTTTTGTAGGCCAAAATACCTGGAAAAAAACGGCTTCATTTTCCAAATCCAGGTTACTACTCCTTTACCTTTACCTGCTCTAAGCACTAGAACGACTGGTACTTCTAAATAGGTATTAAAAATTCTATATATCTTGACACACTGATAAAAAGTTTCCATGGGCCCAACCCGATACTATGAATACTTTCCGAAATACAGGTGGTTTAATTCCCAAGAAATGTACACATTTTATATGCATTCAGATCTATCTGTCACCTATTAATAGGTCTGTCAGAGTGAATTTCATTGGTTGAAACTAGTTTTCTGACTGTTTTCGACCAATCAAATTCTCTCTGACGGGTTTGTGATTTTTGCAGAAACAGACCTATTATTAGGTGACAGGTAGATGTGAATACATATAAAATGTGTACATTTCTTGGACATTGAAGTACCTGTATCTCAAAAACTCATCATAGGATTGGTTCGGGCCCATGAGAACTTTTTATCAGGAAGTCAAGGTCTAACACATAGTAAAATTTCATTGAGTTTGACAGAAAACCAAAAACCTATAAGAGATGTGCGGGGTCCTTTTCCTCGGAAATTTTATTCTCATATTTCTTGATTTCATGTTTAGGTTGGTAACACTACACGCCAAATATAGATATCTTCTTTTTTATTTTTATTTTTACCAATAATAAAATTGCAAATGACAGTTCGATGGCCATCAGTCAGCCAGTGTTACCAACTTCCGATAAGTAAAAAAGGAGTGTCACAAAGAGCTTCTTTTCGAAACTACTTTCAGTGTCGAAAAGACTTCGATATGAAACCAAAATAGAAAAAAATGTTTTTCTGTTTTTTTCATAAGAAACAATGTGTTAGAAAGAGACCTTTCCCATTTTCCTTACAGATGCAAAGTCCTTTTCTGACACATTGTTTCTTATGAAAAAAACAGACATGATCAGTGGCGCACCCAGAAAATATGTTTGGGGCCCTACATGGGTTGTAGCTTGTGACTAAAAATCCTTAAAAAAAATTTAGGTGTCAGAGTGCCTCGCCTTAATGTTGCTACATTTTTAATACGTAAAAATACAGTTTTAAAGGGGTAGCCTGGGGGAAGCCCTGGCCCGATGCCCCCCCCCCCCCCCCATGGTGCGCCACTGGACATGATAGAAATAAATCGAACTTTATATCATTGAAATCAGAAAGAGCAGAGCTATCCAATGAGCTATCAATATATAGGGTGTCTCATTTGAAAAAACGTATCTTTGGTTCATAATTTCAAAACTATCACTTCTAGAGAAAAACTGACTACGCCACCGGAAGCTACGTAAAAATATCTATAACAAACCGTTGACACCTTCTCGATTACTTATGAGGGGTGTCCCAAAATGCAACTTTTTCAAAAACACCTTGTATCTGAAAAACAAAAAGAGCGATGATAATTCTGTTGGCGGCATCTTTCGTTTGACAGAAAAGTAGCCAACGTTCCCGCATCCTCCTAACTTCAATAGCACCCGATTTATCCCTTATAGACAACCAAAATGGGACACACCTGCTTAATTTGCTTTTCTATATTATAAATATCGCTGCTTGCATAGAATAGTAAGTCAGTTGAAATATAATTATTTCTTATTTTTAACCATTGTAACACAACAGCACTGTATTGTGAATTAGGTGAATAAATTGTTTTGTAAAAACTCGTTACGGATTGATAACTCACTTGTACCCAAATAATCAGAATTATTTTTACCTGTACATCAGTTCCTAACGGTCCACATCCTTCCTCTTTCTTCTTTTTTTTACCTTTTTCTTTATTCTCATTATTCAGCATGCTTAGTGTCAAAGTTTGCTTTTTGTTAGGTTGATACTGTAGCTCAGGAGGCAAAAATACTCTAGTATTTTGGAAATTCTTCTGGGGCATAAACAGCATTGTCGGTATCCTGATGTCTGTAGCCAAATCTTTAAGCTCATAGTTGGTGGCCTTGTTTAGTAGGAGACCGGTAGTTAAGTCGCACAATGCCCACAATTTCTGTATATAAAGCATTAATTAGTTTTGTTTACAAAATAATTTAATATACTTACATAATTCATGTGATCATCGTCAGGTGTAACAGCGTCTTTGTGATTTTTCATTTTTTCAATTGCAGTTTTATAAAAACCATAGCTGAAGTAGTCGTTTTTGGTTACTAAAGGTTCCAAAATGAACCATAAACATTGCTGAGCTACTTGAAGTTCCGCAACATTATCCCATCTAGAATATTCATTTATATAATTTGTTTTTATTTTTTTAGTTATAAGAGTTCTTACTTGCTTAATTTAGGAGCATGGGCTAAAATAGGAATAGCAAAAATTAACATGTAATCAGGTGATATATGGGACACCTGAAGCATCGCCCTGCTTTCTGCGCCTGAGTTTCCCATTGTAATTGTTTTGACATAATCTCTTCTCCTAAAAATAAAAACAATAATATAAAAACACATTTTATTAAAATGAAAATTGTTTACCTATTGATATCATTAATCATATAATTCCTAACAAGTGTACGTAGACGGCCTTCAGGTTCCCGTCCAGCTAAAGCATAATATCCCATGAAATCTAAGGGAAGGCACTTGTTTGGTAAACCTAGAGCAAACATTTTATTATCCAATTAATTACAAACAAACTTAATTTTACCTTTATTTAACCCTTTGTGTAATTTAGCAGCAAATATTTCCCTAACCTGTTTAACTTCGTCGCACATCAATTGCGATAATTTATAAAATTGCTCCGCTGTGTATTGGTCACCTACACCTTTCTGTTCGCACACCTTCAACATGGCGCAGCCCGCTGCTAACCTTAACCAAGACATTTCGGCTTGAGACAGCCTTCCGCTTTGAACCAAATCGCCTTTATGCACTATGAAAGCGTACAGCATTCTAAAGGTTTTTTGAGCCGAGTTTGTATCTTGTTTTAAACCTAATTTGAAAAGAAAAATTCAAAATTATTGAAGGGTGGTTGATGATTTCGTGATCCATAATCTGTCAAAGTGTGTCTACTTAATAATAATTATAATTGCCTTATTTAGACTTAATTTAATTCAATACAAAAAATTTGATACAATAATACAAAAGATACAATATCAAGGTATACAATATGAAAGGTATACAAAGGTACAAAAGATATAATAATTTATTTATTTATTTATTTATTTATTTATTTATTTACGTATAAGAAAAATACATTTGAAGTTGAACAGAGTTTACATCTAAAAAAAAAAAAAATCTAACCTAAAACAATTCTCCTGGCCTTCATCTTAAATTTATCCAGAGATAAACCAAAGAACTCAAGGCCCTCACAGAACTTATTTACATTGGCAGATATTCTATTCACAGGACTGAATAGTAGGTACCAGGTTCGACAGTAAGGAATGTGCAGTAAAGATTTACTTCGTGTCTGATAACTTTGAATGTGTAGATTAAAACATTCAAGACATTCGTGGCTTTTTATGTAGTAGTTAAGAATTTTAAATGCAAAACAGACATCAAAATATTCCCTTCTGCGAACAAGAGTAGATAAGTCTAAATAAGTCATAGTCAGGTCATCACTGAGAATTACACCACTCAAAGAAAGTTTGTACCTTGCAAACTTAATAAATTTGTGTTGAACACTCTCAAGCCTATTGATGTGGATCTGATAGTAAGGTGACCAAACTATGCATGAAAATTCAAGAACGGACCTGACCAGTGATGTGTAAAGAATTTTGATAGGGCGTATACTTGTAAAGTCCCTAGTAGCTCTCTTAATAAACCCCAACATTTTATTAGCCCTGCCAATTACCACTTCAAAATGCTCAGTGAACATTAGCCTAGTATCTAGATAGACACCAAGATCTTTAATGATAGAAACTTCAGACAAGCGAACATTGTTTAAGTAATACTGCAAGGGAACACTATGGGTGCGTCTACTGAATCTTATACAACAGCACTTATCGATGTTGAGGGACATGTAATTAAGCTGACACCAATCGTGAACGATGTTAAGATCATTTTGCAAAATAAGTATGTCTTGAGTTGACGTCACCTGACGATACAACTTCAAGTCATCAGCAAAAAGTAAAAAATTTGACGAGAGCAACGATCCTAAATCGTTGATAAATAAGCTGAATAGAAGGGGGCCCAAGTGAGAACCTTGGGGTACCCCAGAGGATGCATGGAAAAGAGAAGAAAGATAGCCATCGATCTTGACTTGTTGCATTCTGTTAGTAAGGTATGATTTCATCCATGAAAATAAATGTCCAGAAACGCCGAAACTTGAAAGCTTTGAAAGAAGGATGTTGTGATTTACCTTATCAAAGGCTTTACTGAAGTCAGTATATATTGCATGAGTTTCTGCATTATTAGCAAATGATGAATTTATGAATGTTGTAAAGAGAAACAGGTTCGTCTCAACGGATCTACCGGCTGTAAAACCGTGCTGTTGACTGATCACAATCTGATGAAATATTTTTGAAAGAATTCCTTCCACGCACTGCTCAAATAATTTTGGAATCGCAGACAGAATGCTGATGGGTCTGTAATTTATTACATCATTTTTGCTGCCTGACTTGTAAATAGGACAAACGTAGGAGAGCTTCCACATTTCTGGAAAAATTCCAGAAGATAATGATTTGTTGGAAATATTAAACAGAGGAAGATACAAAGTGTTAGAACAAGATTTTAGTACTTTGTTGGGAATACCATCAGGTCCTGCAGACTTGTTGATGTCCAATTGCGTTAAAGCCCTCTCAATATCTGTTGGATCTATGACAATGCTTGAAACATTCTCAAATCGATCAGCAAAGGTTCCAGCGTCGGAATTTCTCTGAGGGTTATAGACGGAGGAGAAATAGACAGCAAAAAGATTAGCTATGTCAACACCGTTGGACGCCTTTTCTGAGGCAAGAAACATTTCGTTAGGAATAGTACCCTGATTAGATTGGGAGTGAATAAAGTTCCAAAAAATTTTCATATTGGTGCCTATGGCTCTTTCAGTATCACTTATGTATAATTTATAGCACTCTTTGGTGAGGTTTTTACAATCTCGCCGAAGTGTACTAAATGCAAAGTAATCCAAACCTCTATTCGACCGCTTGAATCGTCTGTGAGCAATTTTCTTTTGAAAAATCAGATTTTTCAATTCGTTAGAGAACCAGATAGGAAATTTCTCGCTGTAAGAATGTGCCTTTATTGGAACAAACATATTAAAGCAGTCGAACAGTACCAAGTAAAAGCTCTTAACAGTTTCGTTTAGATCGTCCATCATAATGGATCGCCAATCAAAGGAAAGAAAATATTCATTAACCAAATCAAAATTGGCATTTTTAAAGTCATAAGAAAAATAATTAAGAGGCTTCAGAAATTTAGCTTTAACAACAGGTATGGAAAACTCTAGAGCTGGGTGATAACGATCACATCCCACCAGACCGTCAGATGTTACAAGTGAAATAGGCCCAAAGTTGGCAAAACATAGATCCAGGATTGAACCATGATCGTTAGCCACCCCATTGTATTGAGACAGATTAAGAGAAGCAGTACTATCGCATAACAATATTTCCTTAGTTGTCCTTACATTTCCAGGTAATAAACCCGAGAGATCCTCACTAGTGGACCACGTTATTTGGGAAAGATTATAATCTCCAAGAACAAGCACATTATCAAACATTTCACAGGCACTAGCAACTGATTTCAAATGGTTTTCATAATGGAGCACATCCATGGTAGGTGGAATGTAGACACAGCCAATACAGAAGACCATGTCACCCAGCGTAACAGACACCCACGTTTCCTCGACCGATGCTTCACCAATTGACAGGCGATGAGATTTTAGGCAATTATTTACTGCCAAAAGGACCCCACCTCCACGGCTTTTAGTACTGTTCAGACTGCTTCTATCAGAGCGATAAACCGTGTAACGCGAGTCAAGAAATTCGGCATCACAGATACTACAGTCTAGCCAGGTTTCCGTAAGTGCAATAACTGAGAAAGACTCGGCGCGAGCCGCACAGAAAGCATCTTTGAGTTTGGTTTTTAAGCCTCTTACATTTTGGTAGAGAAAGGAAGCACAATCTAACGAGACTGGTCCTCTCTGTCTCCTCTCTGAAAATTTGCATTGGACGGTTTTGCCCCCATACGACGAGGATGAAACTCCTTGACAGCAATGCCTACTGGCCAGAGGTTAGGATCCAGCAGGCCCTTCAAAAGTGATTCTTTAACCCCAATTTTAAATGAAACCACATCTTCATTTTTGTCCAACACCAAGCATTTGACATCAGGAATGGAGAGCTGATTCTTCAAATAGTTAGAGATCTGTTCCTCAGTGGTACTCGGATCACATCGACCCAGATATAGCCACTGGCGTCTCTCACCTGCAGAAAAAAGACCTCCATCAGCACCTGTGCCAATTAATACAGGATTATTACTTGAGCGGTCCGATACTCTCACAGGATTAGGCACTGATTGGCGCTCTATGCTGCGGATCGGTCGCTGGGACTTTTGCTGTCCAGCTAGTTGCAGGCTATTAGATGACTGAAAGCTTCTTGATTCATTCCTGATGGGTACCGCCCGCAGATTAGGAGGGAACTGAGATGGGGTTTGCGAAGAACCTGAGCAGCTTGATGCAGTTTTCATAGAATTCAGGGTTGCAGTAAGCAGCTGGAACTCATTCTCAAGTTTGAGTAACTTTGTCTGTAAATCTTTGTTACATTGTTCCAGTTCCCTTAGCTTCATATCATAAACAGCAGATGCCGCTGAGTTGGGCATGATAACGCTAGTATTGTCTATTTCCGAAAGATTATTAACTGCAGAAGTGATTGGTTTTTCCAGTGAAGAAAGAGTGGCTTTGATTACACCAACAGTGTCAGTAACACCATCCAGTTTCAACTTTAAATCATTATAATTAGTTGCAAGTTTGGTGTAGAGTGTGTCACACACCTCACTGGTGATATTTCTGATTAGCACTTTCAAGCCGCCGCCAACATCATTACCAAGCGACTTCACGGAATTTACACAGCCACTGCATGCATAAAGCATTACTCTGGATTTTAACCGGGTCACCTGAGCCTCGGAGGTTGAGAACCTTGAACAGGCCACGCAATTCCAGGACCCACAGAAGTCACAAATTATCTTGTATTCCACCTCTTTATCTGTCAAATTGATACGACATTTGGAGCACGCCGACATTGTTCTCAATAATTTGAGCCGCACGCTGAATGTAATATGGGACAGGCTATATATGGCAATAATCGAGGGTGAAACTGTGTTCAAATTAGATGAAACGCACTATAGATTTTATTGCTTTCAGCAATCTATACCACTCCTTGCTGTTCCTTTTTTTTTTTTTTATTTAAATAAATTTATTCAAATAATGTATTCAAACAATTTAAACAGGTACCACAATTTTTTATCCAAGTAACCTTGATACTTTTGAAGCAATGCAGACTGAGAACAATGGGATAAGTAACTAATAATAACCGATTTGCTACCGTTAACACACGAACAATTCACAGAACGCGTAGATCACAAACCAAGCACAACTGTTGCGAAAATTCACAAATTAATTTTGAGTATGAAAGCAAGAAAAAATGAAAAACGACGGAGCGATGTAAATACTAGGACGACCAACGTCGTTAAGTTAACATATATGCGAATTAGTTCACCTACTGATACTATCACCTTACAACAGGGTTGCCAGACGTCCCACTTAGGAGGAACAGTCCTGCCTTTTTTTATTAATTTCAGGTCCCGCTTTTCACGTGAATTGTCCTCGTTTTCCCGCTTTTTCCACCCAATCACATTTAGTGCAAAAAACACGCTCATTTTACAACTTGTTACATAAATAGCAAAAATCAAAAAACGAGCCTGAATCGCAAGCATTTCATCGAGGTCTGCGGGTGACGTCACCACTAAACTATTAGCTTCTGATATGGTGACGTCACTTGCAGACCTTGTGGACTCGAGAACCAGCGAACGTACGCCTTCTCAGAGGGGTTGTATTTTCGAATTCATTCGAGATTGACAGCAATGTAAATTAAATGGGGAGCATTCGAAATCGTATCCAATTTCGTATGCGAGAATATTCGAGAATACAACCCCTGGATGAGCAATCCTGTTAGTTTACGATTCTTGGGTTTTAACACAGCCGTAAATGTCAAAAATTCAAATTAAAGTTGTTATTTTTTAGTTGTTTATACATACAGAGTGGCAAAAAAATAGTTTACAACCTTAACAAAATTTGGGCGTGGCTCCAAAAAATTTGTTGCGCTTTTGCTCAAGTGGGTCCATAGGGGGGGACACATTGGGCACTCACCCCTCCACCGCCCTTATGCTTTTGGGCGTGGCAAGCCTGCCTTACAATAATGTGAAGATCATTGAAAAATTTGTATAATAATATGTCGAAGATAGGGGGAGTTTGAGAAGAAATGACACTTATGTGCAAGAGAATAAAGGTAGTCTGTGGTTATTGTTTCATGATCAAACTAGTCAGGAAAGGGTTATTCAAGAGACAAATTAATCTTATAGGTACATACCTAACAGCCATCTGGCCATAGCTTTCAAGCCTTCAACTTTACATCTTGTATTTTCTGGTAGATCATCTTCTGAGCACCAAGAATCAGAGCTGTTTATCGCCACATAATCCGCCTCCATATTCTCACTGCATTCTTTTACCAGTAATTCCTTCACAATCTGAAATAGTATATTGTTGTATAAGGAGTAGAAACTTTTTTGCACAACACGCTATTTTTTTCTCCAAACGAATGAGGTAAACTCGGGGGTAACTGAATGGTTGAGCGGCAGTAAAAGTACGAGTGGCACTAAAAGTACTTTTTTCTGTGAAGGGAAAAAAGTAGACTTTTTGTACCTGTTGACAGGGGCAAAATTGTCACTTTTTCTCCCATGGGAAAAAAGTGATTTTTTTTTCCCACGAGTAACAGATACTAGTCAATTTTTTTCCCGAGGGAAAAAAGTAACAGGTACCAGTCAAATTTTTTTCTCAATGGGAATAATGTATAGATGAAAAATGTTGAGATTTTCGCGTCACAGAAAAAAATAGTGTATTATACAAGGGAAAAAAGTACTAGATTTTAGCGCTCGCTGTGTTGTGTGACAAACCACACCTCGCGCTAAAATTTAGTACTTTTTTCCCTTGTATAATAAATAACTATTACCTGCCGCTGTGGTTGCCTAGCAGCATAGAAATTAAATTTCTGACATCTTGACACGTGTTAACAAAGTGAAGTTTTTTTGACGTTTGGAAAAAAAAATATATACACAATAGTTCTTTTCACGTGGCTCCGGTTTAAACTAACCGGGTTACAAAACGGTTAGAGAAATGACATGTTTGTTAAACCGAAGCCACATGAAAAGGGTTATTAAAACACATCTAAAACCTATCAACCAATCAAGGTACCTTTCTAGAAACAATATTCTTAATTGCTACTTTGTATTTTTCAGGAAATGTATAGGCAATATGGCCCAGAGTGACTATGGATGTCCGGTAGTTGGGTGACTCTGGTTCTAGAGTGTCTTTGATTGTGTCCAAAATTTGGCCGAAATTTTCGTCGTGCAAGGGTGGCATGTTTTTGTATATACAATGAATGGCCCCTTTGGCTTGTTTAGGTGTACCGGAGCACGCTAAATCTTTGCAAATCGGCGATAAAGTCTTCATTTCATCTGGGAAATCTTCATCTACAATAGAAATTATTAAAATTCATAATTCAACAATGTGAGATTGTTTTACATAAGCACTTGTATTTTCCCAGAAACGTAAAAATACTAAGGACCAATGGGGCAACATTAACGTCATCTAAACGCAACAAATCCATTAGGTCATTTATTATGTTAGAGTGGTGGAAATGGCAAGGAAACACCACACTTAACATTACTAATAATTTAAGGCCTCTATCGCCTGCGGTAGCCGGATGGAGACCTATATCATCTATCGAGTTTCCACCTCTGAGACAATCATCAACATATCTGAAAATGAAATTTAAATAGAAACCTAAGTAATTCGTATTTCTAAAAACAATTTCTCACCCAATTAGAATACCTAAAGCTTCATGATCGATCATTACTGAACTTATACGTTCCAAAAGCATTTTTACAGTGTTGTAATAAAGATTCGTCATTACAGGAGGTCCAAGCTTTTTCAATACAGCCGCTGTAGCTTCAGAGCATTCTTTGCAACTTACTGATGGCCTTACAACTGTTTCGAATTTTTCAGTAAGATCTGCATCACGCCTAAAAAATATGTATTATATTTTTGCATAATAATACAAATCCTTACTTTAAATGGCTGCTGAATTTAGTCAGAAACTCGTGGGCTTTAACCGGTTCCGGCAAACAACGTGATAAAGTTTGAATTTTGTTACAAATCTCTTTAGAGGCTTCACTGCTACCGCTAATCATCGCTTTCCTATGCAAATCTAGCCATTCTAAAACCAATTTTCGCACGCACAACTGGTTCTTTTGCAGTTCCATGAAGGCCTTTGTGGCGTGCTCGTCAACGGTGCCCATCAAATGGTATAATTTTTTCATTCTATCTTCTGCCGGTAGTTGATAAGGTACCAAACAAGTATTTAATAATCTTGAAAGGAAAATATAATTCAGTGTTAAAAGGAATTGTATAATGATATGTTGTCAAGATTTTTCCAGAATATAAATTATTTATTTATTCAAAGTTTCGACATTTTACAACCAGCACAGGTCAAAGACTTAAAGTCAAAAACTGTGAAAAATCAAAAGACTACTAAGAACTGTAGAGTCAAAAACTATCTGAAAAAGACAACTTCCTACCTTTCAACTGACAATTTATCCTCCATACTAGCCATATAATACCCGTGCAAAATCTTATCCTTAATCCACGTCACTGCTTTTTTAGTGGCCATGGGCACGTCAGGATCGCTCAAATGTTTCTTATAAATCATTGCTAGACCGACCATTGCCTCTTTGCGAATTTTGAACTTCTTGTCGAGAGTGCGCTCTTTGACAAACTCCAAGAGATCCTCGGAGTCAGAGACCACCTGGAAGTCGTTCCTGGCAGTTGTCACGATAGCCATGACTACTTGATACCTGACGTTTTCGTCAGAATCGTGCTGTCGCATTTTCAATGTCTCGGTGATGTCTTTTCTTAAATCGGGATGATTTAGTAAAAAGTGCATCGAGTATTGAACGCATTTGGTTCTAATAGACACCGAAATATCATTAAACCTAAAAACAAACAATTAAATTAAATTTATTTGGTTTTGTTTGATAATAATAACCTTCCCAAAAATGCCCTCCACAAAGGTCCATGTCTCCTAGGAAGCTCAGAGTCTTTTTCACTAAACATTTTAGCTAAAAGAGCCACTGCCGCCAAACGTTCGCTTTCTTGAGCGCTTTTCAATTTACACTCCAATTGAGGTAGTACAGATACCAAAACTTGCGGGCAAATATGATTGAGTTCATAAATTAAATCGTAAACTTTGTTTGCTATACTTAAACGTTGATCCTCTTTGCCTAAAAACCATAATTTATTAGCTAATGTTAAGCCAAACATTTGGAACTTACCCAAAATTAGGACTTCATTAAAAAACGCTTGAATATACGGTTCCAAAGTGTCAGATGTTTTATTAATAAGTTCTTTAGCCAAAAAATAAGCATTTTTATGTTGGGTCTTTGTTGGTTCAACAATATTCAATAAAATTATGTCAAGTAAATCATTTGAGACCTAAATAAAAACCTAATAAAACAAAGTCCAAACAAAACAAATAAATCTTACCATATCGCTCTCAGTAATCAAAGGGCACAGTACATCCAACATAAAACTCTTGACCCTACCTGAATGTTCGTCATTGACAATTTTAAACATTAAATTGAACAAATGACAAAAGATATCTTGGCAATCGGGCAAGTCAAAACACATATTAAAAGATTTCACATACGCCAAATTTTCCAATAAGTAAAAATATCTTTTAAACGCAGGATCTTTAGGATCTTTAAGCCCTGATAATTGCGTGATCAAAAACAAAAATATCGTCTTGACTTGTTCTGGGTCCTGATACGGAGCATCTGGGGCATAGACTCTTAAAACATCAGCAATACAGCAAGCTACAAAAATTACCCATTACAATAAATAAAAATCAATTGACTTAAAAAAGTACCAATCAATAGTTGAACATCTCTTGAAGGATGTTTCAAAAATTGTTCATCTGCCAAGTGTACGCTTAAAGGGACGTATTGTTTGTAGGCGCCGTCGTCTTGGCCCATAGCTTGTAAAGTGTGCGCCAGTGTTTTTAAACGTCGAATCAGCTCGTCTGGACCCAGATCGTCGCTGATTGGACGGCATCCTGAAGGATACACTATTTCTGTCATAATTGGTTGGATCTGCGAGGGAAACATAAAAATAACAATTGGATTCTAGGCTCATGGGCTCTTTGAAATTGTATCTATTGGAAATCGGATATAAGGATAAGAATTGAAACAAATAATGTTTTTTGAAAGAATCTTTTTATTTTATTTTCTGAATCCTGGAAAGTTGAGTTCTCACTTCAACTTTAGTTAGAACAGAAATGATCTAAACATCAAACGAACCTTTATGGTAGGAGCCTAAGAAACCATTTTACTACCTTGTTTTACAACATCGGGGATTTAATTGTTGGCCCCTCTGTTATATAGGCGAACTGTCTAGATGGAATTATACATTTTTATTTATTTATTGTCCCTTTGGAGACTATATCCAAATGTACGTATTTAACAAAGTACACATTTACGTTATTGCAAACACATTTAAATAAATAAATTACCATGTTGGAATATACTGAGCTCACAACTTTTAACCTGTTTCTGTTTACAGGACAATTTTATTATTGTAAAATCTTCAATAAAATTTTTGTGTGAGATGGTTTGCAAGGAAGTTGTCTACCACCTTGAGAAATCAAGCAAACTTCCTGGCAAAATTATATCTTTGAGGTAATCTTTATTGAAAATTACAGATACTTATTCGACAAGACTTTTAGGGAAATTTCTGGAGATTTTTGATTGACACACATTTTGGCTCACAACTTTTTAAATTTCAATCTGAACCTAATGTAATTAGGCTTGAATTAAGGACAATTGAATCCTCTACAAATGTTCATTGGGTAATTTCAACGGAATTTCAATAGTGTCCATGCTGTGAAGCATCAAAGTGTCTTTATTTGGATTTTTATCAAGGTGGCTGAGCAGAAGGAAATTTTTAATTTTTCTCATAAATTTCAATCTTTTTCCTCTCTATTTGCAGAATTTCAATCCAATCCCTGCAAAATTTTCCTCAAAGAGAAATAAAGCCTTCTCATCGTCATTTTTTGGATTTTTTCCAAACATTGACTCACATTTTTGCTCACACGTTTTTAAATTTCAATCCGATCCTAATGCAATTATGCTTGAATTAAGGACAATTGAATCCTTTACAAATGTCTATTTGGTAGTTTCAACGCTGCTTCAATAGTTTTCAAGCTGTGAAGCTTCAAAGTGTTTTTATTTGGATTTTTTTCAAGGTGGCTGAGCAGAAGGAAATTTTTAATTTTTTTCACAAATTTCAATGTTTTCTCTCTTCATTTGCAAAATTTTAATCCAATCCCTGCGAATTTTCCTCAAAGAGAAATGCTTTTTCATTCATTAGTTTGATCCTTGGTTTGATCATTCTCATCATTTGCCTTTGTCCACATATTGAGTCTGGTCAGGAAGTTTGTAAAACTAGATTTTTTGGAGAGAAAATCATGGTAATGGGGGGTACAATATGAGCTTTGTGAAAAAAGATTGTGAGTTCCTTAGGAATGATTTTTTTCATACATTTATAGGGCGCTGGCTCAGGGGCTGGTCAGGCTGACTGGTCTATAGTTTTCTACTAGCTTTTTGAATATAGGTAGAAACAACTGCTTTTTTCCAAGGTTGTGGAAAATCTCCTTTGGATATAGTGTTATTTATCAATGCTGCCAGAGGCCCCTTTAGAGTATGCAAACAATTTTGAAAAAATATAGGAGAGATCTAATCAAGGTCCTAGAGAGTTAATGACGATTTCTAGTTTTTCTGGGGTGAAATGTATGGTATTGATGTCTGTTCTGGAGAAAGATGCAACTGGAAGTGTTGGTCTAATATCTGTAGGACTGAGTTTAGTAAAAGCCCTCTGGAATTGCTGTGCAAAACACCTGCATTCAAATGGGACTAGAATTGATTTGTCAACAATACTGAAGTGGGTGTGTTTAGAGTTAGACTTAGAGTTAACATAGGAAAATAACTGTTTTTTGTTGTTCAACAGATTGTGTTCATATTGTTTTCTTGCTGTGACTGTACAACTTTTGACCTTATTATTTTGATGCTGGTACACTGTTGGTAATTTTTCTCAGTATTGTTGTATAACTTACAGTCTTGAAATAGTGCAAAAGTTAGACCAAGAGTTAAACAGTAGTAACAGTACCCAGGACAGTACCTAACAGTGGGATATTGTATGTTGTTTTTATTTTTGTACACATATTTTTCTCTTACTTGTTATCATTATTATGGTGTTTCTATGAGTATCAATAAATAGAGATAAAAAAATAAACAATACTCAACAAGTTTTTTAGGGACATTTCCTAGATGTACCTACCTATATTCCCAGCTATATTCATTACCTATGTACCAGGTGTCCCACTAAGGTCGGCCAGGTACGATATTATGGGAACCGTAGACCTTACGGCTTCGGGATTTTTTTTTTCTTCACTAAATCGGCCAAGAGAAATTGATGGAAATTATTTTCAAGTTTCTAGGATGACCGCTAGGGGGCGCAATTACGATGATATAGCTAAAAATTCAACTTTTCTTAAGAAATCGCTATATTAAGATACTGTTTCGACAACTGAAATCAAAAGTTCATTAATTTTTAGTTATTAGGCTTTTTTCGTATCTTCAGTAATAAGGGTGGGGGAAGCTGGTGAAAACTTTTTTTTATAGAAATTGCTGTATCTTCCATACCCCTCACTCAAACTCATTCAATTTGGGTTTATTTGGAAGAGAATTTCACTAGGAATTTCATTATTATTAAGAACACCACTTCGTTCCATAGTTCCCACCGCGTCTTCTAGAGGGCGCTGTTTATTCAAGATTCAGTTTTTTCTAATGTTCATGAAAAATCCAAATGGCATAATATTATTTTTGTATTGTTGTGCTTAAAGAGCAAAAAAATGTCTACATAAGGTCTATGGTCTCCAGAATATCGTACCTGGCCGACTTTAGTGGGACACCCTGTATATCTTGTAGACTTTTTCCTTTCTTAGGTACCTAAATATCAATCTTTGAGAGAAATTGTTATGAAACTAGAATCTAGGCAAACATATACTTTATCCCAAAAAGTACCTAATACTAGCTCAAATCTTGGAAATATTAGTTATCCTACATCATAATATATCTACAATTATTTAGGTAATTCCTCTTAAAATGAACAAAATAATTAATCACATAACGCAGGTGCTGGTGCTAAGCAAATAATTATATCATTCTCACCAAAGTCTTATTGAGAATATTGAAATAAAATTTAAAACAAGTATAAACCAGACCTAATCAACCTTTCCTTACAGAGTGATGGTAATTTTTCAAAACTGTTTCTTTGCTGAAATCCCTTGTTGTTTGTTTCATGGAAAATGGTAGGTAGGTACTTTTAGATTAAGACTTAAGAGTTGTTACCTCGGTTGTTACTCACTGGTAGTTGTTGTAAATTATTCCTTATTCTATATGTATACCAAGATTACCAAGGGGTTTTTCACCTAACAAAATTTGTATAACAAGTTATTGCCAACTATTTCCATGTATTAATAAAATATTTCCACATATTGCCAGGTATTTTCCTAGTATTATCACATATTACCAGTTACCAGGTATTGTCATGCTATTGACAGACTAGAATCAAATATTTGTCTTGCCTGAATTCTAGGTATTGACATATCCACAGGTATTTACATGTTATTATTGGGTATCAACCAATGACAATAACATATATCGCCTACATATCTACAAGTATTGACATATTATATTACCTACATAATTAACACGTAGGTATTGCATAGTATTGACACAGCATATTGACCGAGGTATTGACACTATTGACATAGTATTTACCTGGTATTATCGACATATATTAACCAGTGATTTGTAAACCAATTAACAAGGTGAAAAACCCCTCTCTGGAATCCCTAATAAAAATATTGTTTTATGCAAGATGGTAGGTACCATCGTCACCAAAAGTGACTGGGACACAAATAATGCATAATAATCTCCAGGACTAATTCTACTGTCATTCATTTCAATGCATTTAATGCCTAGTATGACAAATATTTGACAATAAAATTCATATAATAGGACAAGAGCTAATGTGATGCTGTCCCAGTTACTTTTGATGACGATGGTACCTACAATAAATTGTACCTTTCGTTGGTACCAAATAATTTTCATACTTTTATAGGTACTTAGATTGTTGTTGCTCACTGGTGGTTATTGTAAATTATTTCTTATTCTCATAAGTATACAAATGTTATAATTATTCACAAGTTAATGACTGAAAATACAAGTTGTCAATTGGATTATTTTGTGAATTGGTAGATGAATAAATATTTAAATACCTAAACTACAATAATCTCTGTGAGTTCTGATAGTAATTTAAATTGAAATCAGAGTCAGAGAGTAGTTTTTCAGAAAGCTGAAAGATAAATAATGGAATAGAGACACTGACACTAGTATTTTGATTGTGCAATAAACCTTTATTCATAATTTCCTTATGAAATTTGTTATTTCCATCAAATAATCAAATCAGTATGAAGCCCTCCAAGTAAAAAAATGCACTTAAAACCTGAAACTGATAGCAACTGCCTTCGCCTACCCCTCCAACTTCTTCCTACCAAATGTCAACACATAATTCAAAAAAAACAATAAAATCCAGTCGGTTTGGTAAGTTATTTGGCAAATTATGTAACAAAGCGCCAATTTCAAGAAATACAAGAGCAATGTACCTTTAAGGGAAAGCCAATAAACTGTGCAAAAGCATTTTACCTGAGCATCCAAATGTATAGGAAGATGGTTCTGTTGTTGATGTTGAGGTAGGACGATCCCGATAAGACACAAAACGGTATTTTATTGAAGTCCTTATGGTCGGGGCCCTTCAAACTACAACAATTGAACACTTTTCGATGGCTTTTAACTGGATATTATCATTTTTTCTTCTCGAGAGAAAAACAGGGACGCGTACATTTCTCAACAAAAATCGTCTGAAAACCAAAAATAGACGAGTGAAGTTAGCTTAGCTCTAGTACGGTGTTGCATAAAATGGCGTTAACTGACATTTATATTAGGCAATCCAATCCATCTGTCAAAACGCAAAATTCAACATGGCGTGGCGGCCAGTAACTTAGTTTTGAATATGCTTACTAGTGCGTAAATTATTAAGGGCGGGTATTATAAAACTGCTTTGATAGTTAACTTGAAGTTAACTTTTTGAATATAAATGTAATTTCGGAAGTTAACTTCAAGTTAAGTAAGTAGTTTTATAATACTGCTTTGAAAGTTAATTTCAAGTTAACTGTCAAAGCAGTTTTATAATACCCGCCCTAAAGCCTAGTACTCATCATAACTGCGAAATTCGCATTTTTTTGACATTGCGTTGACAATTTGACGTTTTATGCGCGATTCAAACGTCAAATTGTCGAAGCAATGTCAAAAAAATGCGAATTTCGCAGTTAGGAGTACTAGGCTTAAGTCGCACAATTCGCTATCTTTGACATTTCTTCGACAATTTGACGTTTGATTCATTAACGTCAAATTGTCGAAGCAATGTCAAAAAAGAGCGAATTTCGCGGTTATGAGTAAATACTAGGCTTATGTCCGTTTTTTACCTTTTATACATCGAGTTGAACCAAACGTGGGGTACAATAGATCTAAATACGGTCGCGGTGCAACTGACACCTCCAACACATACAACATACACCGAACGTGTCGCTCTAGAGCTCTTCGGAGTCACTCCTGCAACCCTTGCAAATTTGGGCATCCGGGGTGCCTCATCATCAGTGGCGTAGCTAGGCCTCGCGACCTAAGGGGCCTAGCAAAAAATAGGTTACCGAACCTGAAAATTGGCACTTTTCAATTTCCCAAAATGAAATTTCGAATAAAACTTCTTTTAATATCATAGAATTCGTGCAGTATTGTACATTCTACAGCAATTTGAAAGTTCGTCTAGCATTTGACTTAATTGACTTTAGCAAACCTGCTAACATACAGAGATTCGGAAAATATTTTGGTTTCCTAAAAAATTGCCTGATTTCTACCAAAGATGCCGGTCCATGTTTGTGTAATACTCAATGACCTAAGAAGTGTAACTCTCAAAAAATTCTCGGCGGGCTTGCCGGCGAGTTCCCGTCCCTGGCGTTGTATCCAGCTTTTTCACAAAAAATTAAATATTGGTCACCCTGCAGTGGCGGATCTATAGCACCAACGCCGCCAACTATTCTAGGGGGGGGGGGAGAGCTTCTCAACCAGTGACGGCTCGTGGTCTATACCTGAAGGGGTTCTCACACCCAAGTAGGACCAAGTAGGCGATGCCCACCGTAGTTGCGGCCGCAAGCAGAAATGTTTTCGGGTGCCACGCCGGGGTGCGTATCATGGTACGCGAACTTGTATTAAACGATCCTGGCCACTTTTAATGTGCCCCCAAGCCGCTCAAGGGGCGCGCATATTCATCGCTGGTAATCGATTTTAGTGAACGCCTTTGGATGTGGACGCTATCAGCTGTCATACTGGTCGGTCGGTTGTCAAACAATTTTTAGTTTGTCAAACTTTTTATAAATCATTTTCATTAGTTGTAGTGTTTTTACTTCTACCCAGTTTTAGTTCAGGTAAGTTTTATCTTTATCATGCATGGCGTCAATCCCATTGGTGATGAAATTGATGTGAAGACAAACAGAAAAAGTTCAATTATTTATATGTACCTGAATAAAAATATTATAAGTCCAACGATTGACAGATACGAGTTTTATTTTTCTATCTTTTCCAAAAAACGTTTTTGGCGTTGACTGGATCAGTCTTGGTTATTACCTCAGATTATTATTACATATTATATTTATTTCTAATAATGAGAGGGATAAATATAATAAATAATGTTAAATCTGATCAAGGCCTAAAAAGGTCATTCATAAAGAAAGTTTCAAATTCAAATATCCCGCCAAAATCAGTTTACTTTGACACAAGCCTATAGAGGCGCCACATATATAAACTATTTTTTTTTAAATGGGAGTTACCATTCTCTATCCCCACTTAAACCTTATTCTATGGTGCGTATTTTAAGCCTCAAAAAATAGTACATTATATACCTAGGTAGAGAAGTTGGTCATTATATACCGAGCGCTTCTATAAACCGAGACGCGTAGCGCCGAGGTTTATAATGCGTAAGGTATATAATGACTTTCTCTACCGTGGAATATATAGAATTTTTTTCACTATAGTCCAGGAGGTGGCGCCAAAAACATGCAAGAATTTTCGCAAGGCGGATATTTTCAAAATAGGACCTACTTTAGTGCTAGAATGCTAGTGTACAGTCAGCACTCACAGTTCCGGGACAGCTGGCTCTAGGACGCGGGCAAAGTTGTAATTTTAAGAAGCATCTAAACTGTTTTCTCAAAGCTCAAAATTTATAGAAATTTTGCACATTATCTGTTTGAAGGTCAAAGATAACGTATGTAAATCGTCAGACGTCTAGTTCGTTGCAAAAAGGGGGTCAGACGTCCTCAAAGTTTTTATTTTATGGCATTTTCTTCGGTGTCCTGTCAAAATATATTTTTGCAGGTATTTGACAAATATATTTGAAGAAAATGCCATAAAATAAAAACTTTAAGGACGTCTGACCCCCTTTTTGCAACGAACTAGACGTCTGACGATTTACATACGTTATCTGTGACCTTCAAACAGATAATGTGCAAAATTTCTATAAATTTTGAGCTTTGAGAAAACAGTTTAGATGCTTCTTAAAATTACAACTTTGCCCGCGTCTCAGTGCCAGCTGTCCCGGAACTGTGAGTGCTGACTGTACACTAGCATTCTAACACTAAAGTACGACCTATTTTGAAAATATCCGCCTTGCGAAAACTCTTGCATGTTTTTGACGCCAGCTCCCCAACTACTACTGCTATGGTAGAAAATAAAAAATAAGTTTGAAATCTGAGCTCAAATTATTTTTTCTAGTTGAAAGTGCTGCCCTCTATCAACATCTATGGTAATTTCCTATGATACATACAGGAACCTGTTTTTTTGATTAAATTGACAGTTTGAAATCGAAATTAAATCAATAGAAACCTGTAACGTTATGACAATATCCTTGCGTCATGACGTCATTTTCATTATTGACCTAGGTTTTTTTTCATTATTTTCATTATTAACCTAGGGAGAGAAATTCAATTTTTTCCGAGAAAAATAGATTGAATATAATGACTACTTCTCAGGTTAGTAGTAAAAATAGTATATTATATACCTAGGTAGAGAAGTTGGTCATTATATTATACCGAAAGCTTTTATAAACCGAGGCGCGCAGCGCCGAGGTTTATAATGCTTGAGGTATATAATGACTTTCTCTACCGAGGAATATATAGAATTTTTTTTACTTCTGCTAGTAGAAAATAAAAAATTTGTTTAAAATCTGTGTTCTAATTATTTTTTGTGAACGCCCTCTTGATAGTGCTGCCCTCTATCAACAGCTTATATAACTTCCTATGTATCTACAGAAACCTGTATTTTTTTTTCAAATTGACGTATGAAATTGAAATTGAACCAATAGAAACATGACAATATCATTGCGTCATGACATCATTTTCATTATTGACCTAGGTATTTTTTCATTATTTTCATTATTAACCTAGGGAGAGAAATTCAATTTTTTCTTAGAAAAATAGATTGAATAATGTCTATTTCTCAGGTTAGTAGTAAAAAAAAATAATTTGTGTGTTATTTAATAATTAAAATTTTCTTGGGCCTCTCTGGGGGGGTAATTACCCCGCTGACATCAAAACACAGATAGATCGAACAATAAACAGAATTTTCGTATGACAACATCTCTGTCTCTTTTGGGCCTTGGTGCTAGCCCCACCACTGAGAATGCCAAATTTTGTCTGGAAGCCCTAAATAATATATATTCCTCCTTATCTAATTAACGTTTTCAATTTTATTTCTGAACTCAATTTGGCAACAGCGGATTGTAGCAAAACGCCGCTCAGAAGCGACTTGTTTGATGGCAGGCAAGTGTTGGTTGGAGTAGCTAGCTATCTTCATCGTACACAGGGATTATTCATTAGCGTTAAACAAGAAACGACCAATACGATATTGGTACTCCCAGAATAAAGTGCTCGTATCGAATATTTTCAGTTTATTTTTCAAATTGTCATTTTATTTATTCATCCAATTAATTTTTGAGACATATCCACCTATAGGCGGAGTTTTTTTACGCCATTTTCAGCAATCATGTCTTCCGACCCCGCGAGCAACTCACCTCCCCTGGTCAATGGGTGGACTTGTCAACACAACAAATATCAGTTAATGAATGCATGATTTGAATGAATGGGATGATCCGTCTATCTGCAGGGATGTTCCAACGTGCACAATTGTGCATATTAATGCACAATCTGATCTCAATATGCACCATATGCACCATCTTCATGAAATATGCACAATTGCCACAATTTTCACAATTCAGCCAAAACAAAATTATTTTCCTTCAGCAAACGAAAAGGCCTTTAGCAACCTCGCCTTGCGCATTGGTTGTGGTTGCTGACATCTGTTATTTTGGAAGCTAAGCTCTAGACTTGTAACTGGCAAAAGAGAAGAATGAAGACTGTAGAGGGGAACCTAACCTACAACCTACCTAACAAGTAACAACTCGGTACGCACCACTACTACAGATAGCCTATCCTCATAAGGCCTGTGTAGATCAAAGGTCAAGCCCCCCTCCCACCACCCGCCAAAGAACTCGTGATGACGTAGACAGCGTGTCGTGTCTGGCCTTGATGTAGGGTGTTTGTACCACAGGTTATGATTCCGCTGGCTTTTGCCTGATGCATACTTGGTTTTAGTACATTAATTATTATCATTCTAATAGCCGTTTGCACCGACCATTTTGAGGGAGGTTTACCGATACTCAACACTTTAAGCGTTGAGAATAGTAGTGTGTATTATCCTTGGTAACAACTGTCAATTTAGAGCACCAAAATGGCGGCGGGAGCGTGGCTCACTTCTATTTTCGATTTTCATATATCCTTATGAGCCACATAATGGCGGCTTACTTCCATTGTCATAACTTGTTGGTAAGAAGGTTTATCGCGAGTCACTGTAATTTTTATTTTATTTCGTCGCCATCCATAAAAGTCTCATAAGTGTCCATTTTTCGACTACAACTTGTAGGACATTCTACCCCTGCTGGGCCCTGCTTTTCATAAAACCCAAGAGATGGCGTTATTAGTTACGTAATTCACGTCACATTTAAACATGTGCACAATCTCAAACGAATATGCACAATTTTTTATTGGTTGGATGCCCACTTGAAAATTCTCCTGGAACAACCCTGTCTATCTGTGTTTTGATGTTATTGAATTACCTTCCTCCTCCTCGCCGATCTGCCACTACCACCCTACATAAAAACGGCCTCGCAATTCGGATGTCGCCGACGGCCACGTTTGGTTTGGCTACGCCACTGCTCATCATAATTAACGGGACCGTCCCTTATAGCCTAGTACTCATTACTGCGAAATTCGCACTTTTTTGACATTGCTTCGACAAATTAACCTTTTATGCGTGAATCAAACGTCAAATTGTCGAAGCAAATGTCAAAAAATGCGAATTTCGCAGTTCGCAGTACTACAGTGACTCTAGTACCACAGTGGCGACAATTGCTGTCTTATTTTTGATTGGTTCTAAAATCCTATATATTTATATTGAAAACGCCGCCATCTTGTTTATATGAATATATGGGATTTAGTGAACATCCATCATAAATCATGGAAAACAACGTATTTGATGGACCTAATAATAGTCATCAAATACCTCGACTTCAATTTTTTATGATAGATGTTCATTTAAATCCTATATATTAATATTTAAAAGCATAGGCGCCGGAACTTCAAAATTACTATGGGGGCTCGGGCTCCAAAAATTAATATAAGTAGAATCAATTAGACAGACAGGACTAGGCTACTAGACACATAGACTTAAATGGGACCAGTTGGCAGATACCCATTTCGCTGCAGGATCGCTACGCTGGATCATTGATTATCCCCGCATATGATTATCGTACATCTTCGGCAGCTCGCAGCTATACTCGGCTTTAGCAGCACCATTGGTGTAGCCAGGATTTTGCCTTGAGCCAGGGGAAATTTGCAGGAAGTGATCCTTGTAGCCCCGCCGCAAACGCTACAGGAGGGAAAGCGCCGCAGGCGCGAAATTTTTGGGTCCTTTCACCGTATTTTTGGGACTTCTAATGGCGGGGATGAGGCCATTTAAACAAATTCTGATAAGAATTTATAGTAGAACCTTACTTATATTATAATGCATGTATTTGAATATTCCCATTACACCCATTACACCCACTACACACAATATCAAAATCACTATGGGGGCTCTGCCCCCATAGGAAATTCACTATGGGGGCTCAAGCCCCCATTGCCCCCATGGTTCCGGCGCCTATGTTTAAAAGTAACAAAGAGGTTGGGAACAAGATGGCGGCGAGACCTCTATTGTCGCCACTGTATGTAAAGGTTTATTTAGCCACTGTAATGAGTACTAGAACAGCGTACTAGGCTTATTTCGGCTCTTTGTCCCGGTCATAGAAAAGTGATTTATAAATTCTTAAATAGAACATTCACTGGATTCATCCCCTTCACTTTTTGTTTTAGTTCGAGATTACACCGCTGTGCGCCCATATCGCCGTTTCTCAACGTCCCCCTCGTTTTTATTCTAATCTCTGACTTCACCGATGAATTAGCTATCTTTGTTTAATTTTTAGAAAATTACAATGACCGACATGGAATGGTGGATATAAAAACCAGTCATAAAAACGGGTTACATTTAACACCATAATCAGGCCTATGATGTATCCTCTCCTGTTATTTTAACAGTTGTGTTATACCTCAAAATCTATACCTGTCTCTATTTTTACGTGTAGAATAAATAGTGACAGATAACTTAACGTTGCTGTTAAAATAACAGAAAATGATACATCATAGGCCTGAATGCCTATGCATAATCCTATGCTATGATTCTATGATGTCATCTTGTCCAGTCTTGTCATCTGACGGTGAGTTCGGCTATTCAGCGCGGAGTTGGAGTGGAGTGAACAGAGCTAATGGAGTCAACCCTGATACCGTAAAAAGCAATACCCGAACCTTAACCCGAACGGCTGGAGTGCGAATGGAGTCACTCCGAGTGCACGGAGTGAGCAAGCCAAACTCACCCTGAATCGATTTGCCCCCGGATTCTATTTTACGAGTCGAGTCGAAATAAACAGAACAAAAAAAAATAAAAGAAAACACTTTTGACAAATGTCATTAGTGTCAATGTCAAATAATTTGAAGAACCACAAACGGTTTTTGGAAAAAGGAAAAAGTTTGTTTGTGTATAGCAATGAATGTATAGTTAAGGATAAATACATACAAGTGTCAGATAAAAAATATATACAAAAAATCGAAATTTTGTATCTTGGCGTGGCAAATAAATTATATCCTATATCTATTTATTCTGGGTTATAGCATATTATTGATACACATGTTAATTTTTGTCACTTGCACCTATATTTCTCATTCTGTCCTCAGTCTTGTTTAATAATTAATTGATAAACTTTATTATTTATAAGATAATGGAGATTCCTAAAAGAAGAAAAAAGAAAATTAATATTGTAGAAAACTTCTTTGATGAGGGGACACCTTCTGGTAAAAAATTACTTATAACTAGTATCCACTTCAAAAATCTAACATTTCTTTATAGGTTCTGAGGACGAGCTTTTCAATATTGCAACAGGCAACGATTTACTAAATCAAATTCTAAAAATATGTTACAAAACCGCTGATGGGTGTATTGGTTGTCATGAAATCAAATATCTTATTGAGTCTTCATGTTCTAGCCCGGATAGTGGGTTTCGAACCTTATCAGAAGAACCACAATGTAAACCATCAAAAAAGAAAAATGTGAACAAATTCAACTCTGATAAGAGAAAGAGGTCATTGGGTAAGCTTTCACAACGTAAAAGAACTAAAGTGGATTTAATCGCCAATCAGAAGAAAAATGACAAAGTTTTTGATGAACTTTTAGGTAAGTAAACGTCTCTACTAATAATTCTTTTATCCATAAAAACTGGTGGGTTTTGTGCCAGCTAGGTACCTATTTTTGAATTAACCCATTCAGCAATTTGAAGCAATGATATGTAATATGGGTTAGACCCGTGATATGTGCTCACCATTGTATATATAGTCTTTGTAAAGTCAATTGAAACAAGGTAAAAATAAATTGCAACTGGTGGCTGACTAGTGGCAGTGCATTTCTTATGAAAGTACCTATTCCTATTAGAGGTGATCATGATGCAGACACAGTCAAGTGTCTCTGAATGGTTCTACAGTAACCAACTCAATCTCAACAAAACAAAGACAGAGATTATGTACTTCTCTATGAGAAATCTGGAAGGTCTTGAAATGTCAGAGGCAGTTCGTTTTTTAGGCGTTTACATAGACCCGCAATTGACTTGGAATACACATGTAGATAAAATTTGTGATAGAGTAGCCTCTGGCGTTTTGGCACTAAGAAATCTGGTCGGGGTGGTCTCTGAAGTGGTACTAAAAAATATTTATCACGCTTTCATAGAGTCTAGAATGTCTTATGCAATATTAGTATGGGGCCATTCTCCAAATATTAAAAGATTGTTTCGTCTACAATGTAAGGCCATAAGAGCTATGTGTAGGTTAGGCTATCGGGATGACTGTAGGGGTGCTTTCAGGAAATTCAACCTATTAAGTGTACCTTGCATATATATATTTCACTGCTTAGTATATACAAGGGAACATCTTGAAGAATATTGTACACATGAGAGCGTACATTCTTACAGCACACGAAACAGAGTAGATATTTATACAGATTATCACAGAATAAACAAAATAAAAACAGGCACATCATTCTATGGACCAAAATTATTCAACGCCCTGCCTGCCACTATGAGAGTGATACCTCCTAAAAAAATTTCTATCATTGTTAAAACTTACTTAATAAAAAAATGCTTTTACTTGGTTGACGAGTTTTATGAAGATAACTTCTCAGACATCTTGTAGCTGCACTTAGCAAATGTTTATATAAATAGTAGGTATAATATAAGAATTATTATAAATAGTATACAGGTACTCTGTTCAATATTGTATAGAATATTTATTAGCTAGTTCTGGAGAAATTGTTTTCAACTTCTCTTAAATATTGTATCAAATTTTTTTCTCCTCCTGACGTATGTAAACACTATGATGTAGGTGTATCAGCATGAATAAAGATTATGTTTATGTTTATGTTTATGTTTATTCCATCACCATTCACCAGTTGCGATTTACCTTCACCTTGTTTCAACTGACTTTAAAAAGACTATACTTACCTAAACTTTATTTTTTCCCAAGATAAATTTTAACATTGGCAACTTTGGAACATAAACAATGCCGCTTTATTGGTCGCAAGATGCCATTTGTAAAACTGATTCCAACCTGCAGGGACACCTCATTTTGCGACCAATTTGCGCTAAGCAGTATTGCGAGCAGTATTGTTTATGTTTCAAAGTTTTCAATTTCTTGGGAAAAAATCAAGGGGTAAACCACCATCCCAGAATTTGTGCAAACAATTCCTCAAAGGGAAATTTTTTACGCATAATTCCTCAAAATTCCTGCAAATTCCTTCAGATTCCCCACAAATTCCTCCAGATACCCAGGCCTAGATTAAGGGGGGTTCTACCAATTCTATAGAACTAGGCCCAAAGTTTCAAGGGGCCCTTGCGACATCGAAGATTAAACAAAAAAATTGAAGCTTGAATGTACCAGAAACATTGCCAAAATTCCCCCAAAAGCTGGCTTGACCTCTATTATACAAGTCAGTGGTGACAATAGAGTATCTCATTGATTGTTTTCAGAATATCCGCCATGTTTTGTCGAAAGTTATCCGTGTTTACCATCTAATCCTATGGAGTTTTATGCAATTTTGTGTTAATATATTTCTGTCTTTGTTATTATTTCTGTCTGCTATTGACTGTTTTGTGATAAAAAAATTACATTAGCTCGTGTTTAGTGCTTTAGTGCAGCAAATCTCGGAATGTAAGCTCCTGTCTGGGAAGTAACATTCTTGGGAAGTAACGGTTTGTTAATACGTAGAGATGGCAAATTCTTGAGATTTTATTTTGAGAGAATTTTCTCGGAGAATATTCAGAAACATTGGAGAATTTCGAAGAATATAGCTTCTTAACATCATTTGGGGCTTTTTGCATTTTTCTAGTACACAAAATCACCAAATTGACATAGAAATTTTGTAGTCCTTATTTTGTCTGAAATGTTTCCATATCAAACCTCTAGGTTTCATTTTCGAAGGGATTCCCTCAAAACTAGTCAAAATTAATATTAAGGGCCGGTTTATTCATCCTTTGATAAACTGTCAGGTATGCAATCTGACAGATAAAAACGCAATCTGTAATCTCATTGGTCAGCCAGTTATCCGTCGACCAATATAATCTTAGAATGGTACATTTATCTTGCAGATAGTATTAGTAAGTAGTAAGTTTATCTGAAGATGAATAAACCGGGCCTAAATAAGTTGATAATTAAATCTTTCTTCGCACACACTCTGTACTCTGCACAGTGCAGGGACAATGAAATAACTTCTGGCTGGGCCATCAGTTGGTAGAAATACCTAGTGCAAAGAAAATGTGTTTCTATCTGTTTCTTTAACAGGCTGAGAGAAAGAGCTGGAAATACACTCAGAACTCAATGGCACCAGTGCACATTAAATCTAATCTACCAATCGAAAACGCCTATGGACTTGGGGGATTTGCCGGATTTATCCGGACTCACTGTTTTCTGTTTTTCATTTCAACCTAAACTCACTACGAACCTAGTGCTAGCTTTAAGTCCAAATTGATAAATTTAAAAATTACAGGTAATTTCCCATAAATTCTCGAAAATAACCGTATATTCTCATAAAATTATAAATTCTCGAGAATTTAAGTCCAAGGAATATTCTCGGTAAATTCTCTGTTCTCAATAAAAGTTCTTTGGAAAATATTCTCAGGGCCATCTCTATTTATACGTACAAAATTTCTAGAACTAAGATTATCTAGTCTCATTGAATGGTAGAATAGGATATTAAAATGACAGGACAGGGTCTGTTCCTGGATAAAACCCTGCAAATTTTGTATTCAACTTTTTTCTATATTTTTTTTTGTTTAAGTTGTAGACGCCGCACTAATTATAAGGAGCATACCCTATACATAAATTCATTAATAATACAATAAATATGCATCTAACCAATAAAGAACAAACACATTATTGGATGAGTTCGACAAAACATGGCGGATGGGCGGATCTTAGACGCTATTGTTGCCACTGCCTTGTATAGAGCCTCCATACATCTATGGTCACTGAAATATGTATTAACTAATAAATACAGTGAAAGACGCAGCTTTCTTTGACAGCATAATCATAACCATCATAGTTCTAGGGGGTTGATAGTTTGTGCGTGAATCCCCGCCACTGATAGTTGAAGTTGATAAACTAACCGATTTTTTTTTTTCACATTCCTTTCATTTTCTAAAAAAAAAATAGGGGACCCAAAAAATAAATTAGCACCGAGCCCACCAGTGTCTTAATCCGCCTCTGCAGATACCCCATCACAAATTCCTCCAAATACCCCTCCACAAATTTCTCCTAATACCCCACAAATTCCCTGCAAATTCCTCCAAATTCCTGCAAATTCCTTCAAAGGAAAAAATTGAAACTTTTTGTATGTAAAGAGAGGTTCATTTTCCCGTAGTTACAATTTTTTCCCAACATGAAGAATCTTGGAAATCACAAAAACTGAACTAATTGAAAATACAGTTTCATAAATTTCAAAGTTTTCCTGGAATACTAGTGAAGGGAAAATTTTGTGGGAAGCTCATTTTCCCAAAATTTCGAATTTTTTCAGTAGAAAATAACAACCTGAAGAATCTTAGAAATCAACCTACAATAAGTAACTGAATTATTAAAAAAAACTGTCTCACAAAGTTTTCCTGGAAAACTAGTGAAGGGAACATTTTGAAACTTTTTGCATATGAAGAGGAAGGTGAGTAGCTCATTTTTCCAAAATTTAAAATTATTCCAATGGAAAATAACATGAAAAATTTTGGAAATAAACTTAAAAAAACTGAAATACCTAATTATTAATACAGTCTCACACAATTCAAAGTTTTCCTGGAAAAATAATTAGGGGAAAATTATGAAACTTTTTACATGTGAAGAGGAATGTCAGAGACTGATTTTCTCAAAATATAAAATTTTGCCAGTAAAAAATAACAACATGAAAAATCTTGGAATTCAAGTGAATTAGTTGAAAATACAGTCTCACACATTTCAAAGTTTTCCTGGAAAACTAGTGAAGGGAAAATTTTGAAACTTTTTGCATGTAAAGAGGAAGGTGAGAAGTTCATGCTCCCATTTCAAACTTTTCCAGTGGAAAATAACAACATGAAGAATCTTGGAAATGAACCTGTCAAAAACTGAATTAGTTGATAATAGCGTCTAACACGTTTCAAAATTTTCATGGAAAACTAGTGAAAGAAAAAATTTGGAAATTTTTGCAAGAGAAGAGGAAGATTAGAAGCTCATTTTCCCAAAATTTCAAATTTTTCAAGTAGTTAGATAATCAACCTACAATAACTGAATTAATTGTAAATACAGTCTCACACATTTTAAAGTTTTCCTGGAAAACTAGTAAACGGAAAAATTTGAAACTTTTTTCATGTGTAAAGGAAGCTGAGAAGCTCATTTTCCCAAAATTTCAAATTTTTCTAGCGGAAAATAACATGAAAAATCTTGAAAATGAATTTACAAAAACTAAATTAGTTGAAAATATCGTCTCACACATTTCAAAGTTTTCTTGGAAAACTAGGGAACATAAAAATTTGAAACTTTTTACATGTGAAGAGGAAGGTTAGAAACTCATTTTCCTAAAATTTCAAAATTTTCCAGTGGAAAATAACAACATGAAGAATCTTGGAAATCAGCCCACAAAAACTGTACTCATTATTGTTTGGAATTTTTTAAATTTGGACCTGTAAATCATGAAGGGAAAATTTGGGAGAATTTCTTTAATGAAAATGATTGTTCAACGTTCAACACAAAACTAGATTTTTTTAAAATTTCCATTTATTAGTGTTTCTTATAATAAGAATGTGAACCTCAGTGACGTCATGACTACAATTTCTTTTAAATTCCTCCAAATTCCCCATAAATTTTTCCGAATTCCTTATAAATTCCCTAAATTCTCATAAATTCCAGTGAGTTCTGTCAAATTCCCCACAAATTCCTCTAAATTTCCCACATTTTTGGCAAAGAATTCCTAGGTGGTTTGCCTCTTGGAAAAAATAGACCATACATACATTTCGACTACCTACCTCTTTTAGAATAACTTATTATTTCCTCTAATTCCTTTGATTTTTTTTTTCCCAATTTCCTAATATATTCCTCTTCAACTCTTCAACTTGTTCACCAAAATTCCTCTACAGCAGTATACCCTGATAAAAAAGTGATTAGCAGACAAACTTTCAAATGAGTTATTTTAATTTTGCAGAAGATTACAGAGGCAATTCTCCAATAGTTTCAACCAAAAAAATAAATCTGGAGATAATTCAAAAGAAGAATTACCTATATTTGATTTAGATGGTAATGAAAGTATCACAAATGGTAAAGACTGGAAAATCAAGTTTACAATTGACTTTATAAGGACTTATTTTTCAGCTGAGCCACCAGAAATTTCACTAATTGATAAAAATATTGAACCTTCAATAAAGCGACATTCAATGAGATCAATAACTAATACAAAACTTAAATCTCACAATAAACCAATTGCAAGGTCTACAACACGTAAAAATAAAGTCAAACGCACTTTTCAAACAAAAAGTAAAAATATGTTGTCAACTACAGAAAATCTTGAATTATCAGTCCCAAAAACCCAAAAGTTTGATTTAGATGGCAATGAAATTATGGAAAATGGTTAGTCAGAGGACATTTTTTATGATTGGCTTTATGTCAATAAGTTGTTTTTTTTTTAGAAATGTCACACAATGAAACATTCAAAAAACCCTCACTACTAGAATCATCATCTTTGCCTCAACCAATGATATTGGACTTTGACAAGTCAACAAATTTACTAGAATTTGATTTAGATGGCAACGAAATTGTTCAAGAGAATGGTAAGTAAATACATTTTTATATATTATATTTATGTTTTATGTTTAAGATTTTTCAGCCAATATGCCTAAAAAAGGTCCAGACATTTCAAAGAGTGCAAAATCTATGAAACCTGCTACACATCCATATTCGTTGAGACCTAAAAATACAGTGCCAAAAGCTGGAAATTTCAATAAACAACCTTACACCAAGTGTAAGCAGAAATTGAATTTTGACAAGTCAGTAACACAAAAACGTAATGCAGGAAGCAAATCCAAAAAATGCAAAATTCCAAAGAAGAATCAAACTTGTGCAGCTTCAACCTCAAATACAGTGCCAAAAGCTGGAAATTTCAATAAACAACCTTACACCAAGTGTAAGCAGAAATTGAATTTTGACGAGTCAGTAACACAAAAACGTAATGCAGGAAGCAAATCCAAAAAATCCAAAATTCCAAAGAAGAATCAAACTTGTGCAGCTTCAACCTCAATTTTATCCAATAATAATTGTGCAACTGAATTGCCTGGGAGGACATTGTATGATGCAGAATCTTTCATGAATTCTGCATTGTTTGATAGTATGTTTGATTTTGACGAATAAAAATTACAGAAAGTGGAGGCGTTTTAGGTTTATAATATTTTATATTTATACCTTTTTGAATTTTATCGTAATTTTGGATATTTTTTAAAAACTTTATTAAATAAATTAAATAGCTGTGAGATAGAGTAGAGATAATGGGTTCAGGACTTTGGAAATAAAGTCCTTTCCAAAGTCCTGAACCCATTATCTCTACTCTATCTCAAACACTAAGGACGTTATCTATAAAGATGTTAAATAGCTGTCTTTTTTATTAGGTTTTTTGTAATGTTTTATATTTGTTCAGGCTATGTGCCTAAAGATTACAAATTCTTTGCTGAAGTCTAACCAGCATGTGGTTGAGTGGTTGTAGCTTTTGTACAGTTTTTCAAGTAATTCTTTGCTTCTTCATATTTATTCTTTATCTGTTGAAAGTAGTTTTTGCAATTCCACATTTCATAATTTCTTCATCTCTAGCTTAATTTTTTTCTCCATATTTTTTCTAGTGTAGCAGTAGTGCGTTCGTCAATAATATCCTTTTTTTCTACGCAACAACACCTACAGTCTCAAAATAACTGTAAAACTAGCATTATACAAGATATTTTGCAAATGTTAATATTTTTAAAACTAGGACCTTTATATTTCCAAAAACCACCGTTTTCTTCAAGTTTCCTAGAAGAAGGTGAATTCTATAACAAATTCTCACATATCTATACATTTTTCACAGGCACACTTCTACCTTGTTTTGTCATAGTGCGCCTATCTTGCAAACAAGTTGTTGCAACACTGTCTATCATGTTCATAACATTAAATGTGTATTTTATTTTGTATTTCTTTTTTCTTCAGTTTTTTATTTTTATCTCTAAATCCAAAACTTTTAGAAAATAAACATCTCTTTTTACTTATAATGACCAAATTATTTTATTTCAATATACACATTACATATAGTTATTGTATTATACAATCATAATATTTGTACATTAGTTTACATAATTAAAAATTTAAGTGCAACTTTTTACATTTTTGTACACTTTGACATTTTTTTTTGGCTTGTGTTTTATTTCTTTGACTAGAAGCACACTCGTCTATATCAATTATACATTTCTTATAAATAAATCTAAATAAACTATATATCGATATTTATAAATTATATGGTTTTTATACTGGGTGCTCCAAAGGATTTATTAAAATAATAACTATAACACCCAGTATATGACTAGAAAAACTTAAACATAAATACTGGCCCTTTAGCCCCTATAATACTATTATCACAATTTATTTTCAATTAAAATCATTCTCAAAAAATTCATATTATGGCAAAATAATTCACATAATAATTTTTCGATTAAAAAAAAAATGGTTCGTGAAGGTTTCAAGTTGCCGCTTGGAGCTTATTGCAAACTATTTTCCCTGCCCGCACTTTTGGATAGCGATTAAATTTCATCAATAATTTTACTCTAATTTTAAAACCTAATAATTAATGCCTCAATTAATTGATTGGACTTTCTTATATAAAAGGAACTGTTTTTGTTGATATGATTTAAATAGAAATTAAAAAAAGAAAAATAAATAAAAATATATTAATTATGTCTATACCTAATTAGTAGCAAAAAGACAAAACTTTGTCCTATTGACTATAGATATTCCATACATGATATGCTTCTGTTAGCTGTTTAACTAACAAAAACTTAACAAGAGAAATTGCCTAAAAATCTAAAAATCACATGTTCAAAATAACTATATGACTAGAAATTTGGACTAGAAAAATAAAAAAGACTACTAGACTAACATAGAGAGATCTTTCTTGTGAAATACTGATTCCATTTCTAATACCTAATCCTATGTACAATAAATTATAAGGAATGTTTAGTACGGACTAGAAATAAAAAAAAAAATGACTAGATATTCATCCGGTTATAGTGACTAGATTAGAAAATATTTGACTAGAATTGTTTCAGTCTTTTAAAACTAAATACCTGTACATAAAAATAATGGCCACAAAAGTTATTTACAATGGTTATTGTTGCTAGGAAAGTCCATCCAAGGCAACGTAGTGAAGTACCTCTCGCAAGCCGGAGGTAGCGGAGGTGGCCTCCATAGGCTTGCAGGAAGACGTGGTATCGGCCTTACAGGCACAAGCCGTTGTCAGTCCATCTGGTGCAAAGTTTGATGTTTACGAAGGTAAGCTATCTGGAAAAGAAGAAGAAATTATTACGACTTTTCAAGACTTTTCATATTTAAAAATAAATAAACATATTTGTGATATGTTTGAGTTGATAATTCATGAAAGATCATTTCTGATCTGCATTCGTTTTTGCTTTTGTTAAGCTCTTTTTCAGTTTTTCTTCGCTCTTGTTCTCTGTTTTTCAGATGTGTTAGTTACATGTTTGAGTTGAAAATTTATGAAAGTCTTTCTGATATGTGCTATGGTCCTATCTTGGCCTTTTTTCCTTCACTTTATCTTCAAACCCCAGCTTTATCCTTGCTCTATTTCTAGTATATTCGCAGTTTTCTGTGTGTTATCTCTATTTTCTTTGTACCTACCTAATACTTATATTCTTTTTGTATTTTGAATTCCTTATTGTTCTTGGTATTTTCTGTCTTAGTTATTGTTTTTCAATGGTTTTCTCTGCTCCCCATTTTCACTCATTCCCCTCTTTTTTCCATTCAGCTTTTTCCCGCCGTTCCCGGTATTTTTTTAAATTTAGTGTATGAAGTTTGGGGGATCCCAAAGGACCATTGAGACACAAAATCTCAACAAAAAAAAAATGAAATTGCATCGTTTCAACTGACGTAGCTACCTTATGATATAATTTCGGATATTGTCTATTCCTAACAAGGGGTAACCCCCCCCCCCCCCAGAATTTGTGCAAACAATTCCTCAAAGGGAAATTTTTTGCGCAAAATTCCTCAACATTTTTGCAAATTCCTCCAGATACCCCATCACAAATTCCTCTAAATTCCCTACAAATTCCTCCAAATTCCTCATAAATTTCTCCAAACTCCCTATAAATTCCCTACATTTTTGGCAATGACTTCTTCCCAGAAGGCACAAACATATTGCAGGAATATTCATGGTATATTTCATAGGAATATTGAGATATCCCATTCATATGCCATGCAGATCTATTCATATAACAGGGATATCCCAGGCATATGCTTAAGTCACCATGAAACATATCCCTACAATCTTCCACATATATGACAATTGGATATTGGAAGAAAAGAATGTCTGATGAATATTTCATGCATATTAATTAGATATTCACAGAAAAACCTCCCTGGTGTACCCCCTCGAAATTGATCCCTTTCCCAGTCACATCCATACCTGAAGAACCTTTAAATTTGTCAAAATGACGGGTGTCCTACCGAGAATTTACATAGGTATTTTAAATTTTTTATTCCGTTAATTCTTCTGAATTTTCAGCTAGGGTAAATATATTGGAATTAGTTTACTGTAGGCACAAACAGCTTACATGTCCTTATCCCTATTTTAAATTATCTATCAATTTCCATCTAAATGGATCATTTCCAGATTTACGGCCGGAAATGCGCTAATTACGGTTAAACCAGAAGTAAGTATTTGATTTTCATGGGAATTCATACATACCTTATTCAGAATAAGAACATGGATATGTAGGCCACTTGACAAACCGATTTCGGAATGCTGTTCAAAATTATGTATAAATTTCTCTAATTTTATAAAATTATTATGTAAAAATCTTCCTTTCGCATATTGAAGGAATATGCATACATGATATTCACGGCATATCGCATATCCTATAACTACATGCCTGGGATATTTCTGGAATATTGCAATATGCCTGGGAAAATTGGCATGTTGTAGGCATATACCAGCAATATTGGGTTCCGTCTGGGTTAGGTGGTTTGCCTCTTGGAACATACCTCGGAACATACAGTCACACACAATTTAAAATTTTCCTGGAAAACTAATTGACGGAAAAATTAAAACTTTTTGCATGTAAAGGGGAAGCTTAGAAGCTCATTTTCCCATAATTTCAATTTTTTTCAGTGGAAAATAACAACATGAAAAATCTTGGAATTCAACTTACAAAAACTGAATCAATTGCAAATACAGTCTCACACGTCATGTCACAGTTTTTCTGGCAAACTAGTGAAGGGAGAAATTTGGAAATTTTTCGCATATAAAGAGGAAGATTATAAGCTTATTTTCCCAAAATTTCAAATTTTTCTACCAGAAAATAACAACGTATATAATCTTGGAAATTAACTTCCAAAAACTGAATTATTTGAAAATACAGTCTCGCACATTTCAAAGTTTTCCTGGAAAACTAATTCAGGGAAAATTTTGAAACTTTTTGTATGTAAGGAGAAAGGTTAGAGGCTTGTTTTCCCGAAATTGTAAATTTTTCCAGTGAAAAATAGCAACATGAAGAATCTTGGAAATTAACCTACAAAAACTGAATTCATTAAAAATACAGTCTCACACATTTCAAAATTGTCTTGGAATACTAGTGAAGGGAAAAATTTGAAACTTTTTGTATGTAAAGAGGAAGGTTAGAGACTCATTTTCCCAAAATTTCAAATTTCTCCAGTGAAAAATAACAGCATAAAGAAACTTGGAAATCAAGCTACAATAACTGAATTAATTGAAAATACAGTCTCACAAAAATTCAAAGTTTTCCTGGAAAACTAGTGAAGGGAAAAATTTGAACCTTTTTGCATGTGAAGAGGAAGGTTAGAGGCTTATTTTCCCAGAATGCCAAATTTTTCCATAGGAAAATAACATGAAAAATCATGGAAATCAACTTACAATAACTGAATTAATTGAAAATACAGGCTCGCACATTTCAAAGTTTTCCTGGAAAACTAGTGGAGGAGAAAATTTGAAACTTTTTGCATGTGAAGGGAAAGGTTAAAGGCTCATTTTCTCCGAATTTCAAATTTTTCCAGTAGAAAATAACAACATGAGAAATCTTGGAAATCAACCTTCAATAACTGAATTAATTGAAAATACAGTCTAACACATTTTTAAATTTTCCTGGAAAACTAGCGAAGGGAAAATTTTGAAACTTTTTGCATGTAAAGAGGGAGGTTAGAGACTCATTTTCCCATAATGTCAAATTTTTCCAGTGGAAAATAACAACATGAAGAATTTTGGAAATCAAACTACAAAAACTGAATTAATTGAAAATACAATCTCACACATTTCCAAGTTTTCCTGGAATACTAGTGAAGGGAAAAATTTGAAACTTTCTGTATGTAAAGAGGAAGGTGAGAAGCTCATTTTTCCATAATGTCAAATTTTTCCATTGGAAAATAACAACATGAAGAATCTTGGAAATCAACCTCCAATAACTGAATAAATTGAAAATACAGTTCTCACACATTTCAAAGTTTTTCTGGAAAACTTCTGAGGGATAAATTTTGAAACTTTTTGTACGTAAAGAGGAAGGTGAGAAGCTCATTTTCCCAAAATTTCAAAATTTTCCAGTGGAAAGTAACAACATGAAGAATCTTGGAAGTCAGCCTACAAAAACTGTACTCATTATTCTTTTAAATTTGTTAAATTTGGACCTGTAAATCATGAAGTGAAATTTTGGGAAAATTTCTTTAATAAAAATGAATGTCCAACGTCACGACAAAACTAGCTTTTTTTGAAAAAAAATTCCATTTATTAGTGTTTCTTATAATAAGAATGTGAACCTCACTGACGTCATGACCTTAAAACTTCCTTTAAATTCCTTATAAATTCATCCAAATTCCCCATAAATATCTCCAAATTTTCTATAAATTCCTTATTCTCAGAAATTCCGATGAGCTTCTTTAAATTCCCCACAAATTCCTCTAAATTTTCCACATTTTCGGCAAATAATTTCTAGGTGGTTTGCGCCTTGATTTCCCACATCTGAAGAACAGCGACTCAAACATAAGACCAAAAAGAGGGAGCGATAGAACAGAGTCCTCATTCTTGAAACAGGGAAGCAACGTTCCCAGGAGAACGAGTGTTCCGTCTTTCTAAATGATATGCGAATGATAATATAAGTAACAAAGACGGAACACTCATTCTCCTGGAAACGCTGCTCCCCTGTTTCAAGAATAAAGACCCACAGAGGAAAAGTCAATCCTTATATTCTACAGTTCTTCTATTTTCCTACACTCGTGCAGTGTTGCCAACTGATGGGATGTGAAAATACCTAGATTTGAAAAAAAATATCCCTAGAATTCCCTAGAATTAATTTTTTTCAAATTCATTTTAGAATTATTATTACAGCCTAATAATAATTGTAATATGTATTGTAATTCTTGTAATTTACAAGAAAAAAAATCATATTTTTAAAATTAATCGCACTAATCCTCAAGTTTTTAAAAAACAACACAAAATTTCCAAAAGTAATAAAACATTGTTATGACGTCACTGGTAGCGATAAAAGGTCTGTTTTTGCAGGAATCACAAACCAGTCAGAGTGAATTTCATTGATTGAAACTAGTTTTCAGACTGTTTCTGACTGTTTTCAACCAATGAAATTCGCTCTGCCTGGTTTGTGATTTCTGCAGAAACAGACCTAGTGACGACAGACTGTTTCCTGATTCAGATTCGACGCGATTGTTGCAGGAATCCCCACACACATCACGTTATACAAAAGGCAAAGAGCACTTTACAACATACAAAAATGATACTGTTGTACACTTGGCCAAACATAAAACTGGTACAGACAATGTAAAATCTGTTTTTTTTTTTAAAGATAAAAGTCAAAATGACATTATGTTGGCACTAGATTTTTGACTTGGGGAATTATCTTTAAAAAAAAAAACAGACTTTATATCTATTTTTTAAATTTGCCTAGTGTGAGCCAGGCTTAACAACAAGAAGTCTCTTCTGAAAAAATTAGGTCAGATATTTTTTGTCAACGACAAAGCTGAACAGAAGTACCTACATGCAATATTTTTTTATGTTATGATTGGTTCAAATATGACAATGACTTGACTCTTTTCGTCATTGTTGAGGTGATAAAAAAGGTCGATTTACACAATACAACACAATAGGAAAAGCGTACCAGTTTTATGATTGGCCAAGTGTATGTTGTATGAAATTACTCAGACGAACCAATAATAAGGTGACTTTCGATTTTTTGAAGAATTTATAATGATATTATTTCATATGTTTATTTTTTCAGAATTAATCAAATTGTGTAAGAAAAATTAAAAATATCAGAAAACCCCTAGAATTTCCCTATATCCCTAGACAATTTTTTTTTCCATATTTATCCCTAGAACTAGGGACAATTCCCTAGAGTTGGCATCACTGCACTCGTGACTTAAAGTTATGATAAAGATAAAGTGCAACAAAAATTAAAATCCGTATTCAAATTTATACCCAACGAGTGATAGACGCTGATGTATAATTTTTGGTATAGAGCTAGTTCAATGCGCATGCTATCTGCATTTGTGTCCCAATGCAAAAAATAAATATATAGCATGCTACTTCAAAAATATTCCAAATAACTTATCAAATATAAAAAAAGCCATACACCAAAACACAACAATGTTAGACATATTTATGGAAAGCTGAAATGTTCAACTCCCGCTCTCTTCTCAACTCCTTTCCAGCTTTATCCCTGATCTTCCCCTGCTTATCAGCCATCAGCAAATAAACAAAACTTTAAAAGAGAAGCAAATAAAAATGGAAAATTTGCCTGAGAATTTATGTCAATTGGTATCCAGAGTATCCTGGATTTCCTATATACATCAGGTTTGATCTTTACATAGGTTCCTTTTGTTAAGTAACGACATTGTATATCGTTTTTACGAATTATATTCAAGAGATTCCAAAGAAATCTCGAATGATGACGTGTTTTTAATTGGACACTTACCCTTCTAAAAGTTTTCCCACACTCGCTACAGGGAAAATGTTCCCCGGACTCTGACTCGCTCGTCACCCCTTCTTCCGATGGCAGTTTCGGTTCTTTGGCAGGTCGCGGCTTGTGCCATCGTCTGTGCGAAGCCAAATTCGCCGGACAATTGAACACTTTGTCGCATTCCGGACAACGGTACTCTACGTGGACGATTCTCGAACACCTAGAATTTTCCATCTATAATAAGTAGGAGCATCAAAAATTATGACAAAAAAAAACACCATAAAGCAAGTTAACAGAAAAAGGCAAGACTATATACATTTTGAAATCTCATCAGTAAGAGAGAATTGATCATACAGTAGAAGATAAGTTGAAAATCTGAAACATTCAATTATCTTTTTCAATTTAAGTCACACCTAATGCACATTATGCACATCATGCGGGAACCACCTGTCACAGCAAGCACGTGCCCGGTATAATTTCCACGTGCATAAATCGCGTGCCGTGACTAATTGTCCTATAATCAATTTGTTGCACGGTCAAGTGCTCACTCACCTATGCTGGGCCAATCCGAAAGCGTCCTCGTACAATTCCTTGCACAATCTACAGACGTAGTCGCCAATATGGTTTTCGATTTTCGCGAGTTCCGCCTTGGCTTCTTCGGTTACTTCGACGACGTTGAAGGCCGGATCGATGTCGCCTTTTCGTACTACCAAGTGTTCGTCGGGACGTAGTTCTCTAATGATGGTACCGGATACTGGCGAACTGTTGTCTTCGTCGAACTGGAGTTTTCTGATTGCTTTGGATTTTTTTGGTGTAGGTGAAAACTGGGAATCAACAAGAGAGGAGGGATTTTTAATAATTTGATTACAATGTACAACGAGTTGATTTAGCTTGCAGTGAACTGAAAAAGTCAGCTAGTAACTTGGAAAACTTCGTACAGGTCTGAAATCTGTGTAAAAACTAGAATAGAAAATTCTAATCATTTATTCATGAATCTGAAATGTTTTACTCGAGATTTGGCTTGGTGTAACCAAATCTTTAGGAGCTACAATCTGTGCAAAACAGGAGTCACTTTTGGCCTATTAGTAGGTAGGTAATAGTCAAAATTTGGACTATTACCGGCTCTTGATTGCAGTGGCGGCTCGCGACTATTTCAAGTGAGGAGGCTAAAAAATAATGAATGAAAAAAAAATCTATGGGGATATAAGCCTACCAATTTTTTTTTTTAATTTTCAATGCGACCTAACTCGAAAACGAAAAGCTCGGGAGAAAAACTTCAAATACAAAACTTATAGATCTCGTCGAGTACTACAAAAAAGCCTATAAGCAATATCCCGCCACGGGACACCGTTTTCGAGAAAATCGACCTGGAAAATTTTAACAAAATTACAAAGAATTTCAACTTTGACAGCTGATATCTCAAAGGCGAAAACAGCCTGGCATCTCAATAAAAAAATATTTTGTAGGTAGTTTCATCGCCTTTCAGAAGAGATATGACTCGAAACGATCGGTTAAGAAATAGCGGAGCTATAAGCGAAAAAGTGGCCTCGTGTCTGGTACCTACAATTTTTTTCTGATCAAAATCGAAATTTCCTTTTTTATATTTTTTAGGCCTTAAAATGCGTCATAGCAAGCAGGGTTCCATAAGCTTTTCAACGTTTATTTTGCCCCTCTATCCGATGGTATTTTTTTTTTTTAAATTCGGAAAAAAAAATGAAAATCAAGAAAGATGGGGAGGCTAACTTTTTTCCGGTACATCGGAGAGAACTGAAACTCGGAATATCGACTAAAAATCACATTTTGAATATTCCCAATTTTTGATTGGCTCCAAATTATCCGCTGACCAAAAGAAGAAGAAACTCGCGTATAACTCCGGCCCTTCGGGCTCGTATTACTAAATATCCCAAATTCACAGATTTTTGTCGTGGAGGCGCGGGATTGATTGAAATAATGTTGTCAGATTTTTCTAAATTACATTGAAATATCGAAATTTGGAAAGTGTAATTTGTGAATTATTATTCCAATTATCCGCTGACCAATAGAATTATAGACTGAGCCCCGTGGTTAAAAAAACTCTAGCCCTTCGGGATCGCGTATAACTCTGGCTCTTCGGGCTCGCATATAACTCCGGCCCTTCGGGCTCGGCTATAACTCTGGCCCTTCGGGCTCGCGTATAACTCCGGCCCTTCGGGCTCGGGTAAAACTCCGGCCCTTCGGGCTCGCCTATAACTCCGGCTCTTCGGGCTCGCGTATGACTCCGGCCCTTCGGGCTCGTATTACTGAGTATCCCAGATTCACAGATATTTGTCGTGGAGGCGCGGGATTGATTGAAATATTGTTGTCAGATTTTTCTAAATTACATTGAAATATCGAAATTTGGAAAGTGTAATTTGTGAATTATTATTTCAATTATCCGCTGACCAATAGAATTATAGACTGAGCCCCGTGATTAAAAAAACTCTAGCCCTTTGGGCTCGCGTATAACTCCGGCCCTTCGGGCTCGCATATAACTCCGGCCCTTCGGGCTCGCATATAACTCCGGCCCTTCGGGCTCGCATATAACTCCGGCCCTTCGGGCTCGCGTATGACTCCGGCCCTTCGGGCTCGTATTACTAAGTATCCCAGATTCACAGATTTTTGTCGTGGAGGCGCGGGATTGATTGAAATAATGTTGTCAGATTTTTCTAAATTACATTGAAATATCGAAATTTGGAAAGTGAAATTTGTGAATTATTATTAGGAATTAGGAATAAAAACCTGAGATTGAATTTTCAATTTTTTGAGGCAGGCTTAGCCTCTTTTGCCTCCTCTGACGAGCCGCCACTGATCTCCAGTAAAATGAAATGAATTTTTTTCTAGGAGGCGTTGCACGTAAACTAGCCAAGAGATCTTGAGAAGCTTAGTTAGAATGTTAAATAAAATCAAAATTTAAGATAAATATTATGAGGTCTCAGAAAAAAAGATCTATTCTAAGTTCTTCAAGAGTCGTAAAAGAAGTTTAGACTTCAGATCAACCAGATCCCAAGTCTTTAAAGTTTTCAGCATCTTCAGAATCTTCAAAGACTTCAATCTCAGAATATTCAGTATAGAGTCGACATTCTAAAGTCTTAAAAATCAAGTCGTCTAAAGTTGAATGCTTAGAACTTTTGGAGTATTTAAATCAAAAGTTTTGGAGTCTTCAATAGATCTTCTTTCTAAGATCTCAGAAAAAGAATCAATTCTAAGTTTTCAGAAGTCTCAAAAGAGGTTTCGGCTTCAGATCAAGGGATCTTGAGTCTTTAAAGTTCTCAGCATCCTCAGAATCTTCAAAGACTTTAATCTCAGAATATTCAGTATAGAGTCGACATTCTAAAATCTTGAAAATCAACTCTTCAAAGCCTTCATAATCATCAACGTCTCTGAAGTGGATTGCTTAGAACTTTTGGAATATTTAACTCAGAACTCAGTTCTAAAAACTAATCAGGCTTCCAAAAGAATTGTACACCAAACGCCTCAAATTCCATATTAAAGAAATTTCAGAAAATTTTTGAAAATCTTTAACTTTGTGTTAAGCCCTTATAGATGCTATGATATTGATATTGATAAATTGATATTGATATTGATATTGATATTTCTGCACAATTCACATTACTTGATGACTGGAAAGTTCGTGAATGTAATTTTAATACGCAATAGTCCAGCGAATTTTCTAGTCAATTCTAGAAGCACCTACGCTCTATGAAACGGAGTCGACCAACAAGTTAAAAGTTCATAATCAGAATTAGTGGGGCAATAGAGTAACTATTTTCATCGTGATTTTTGCCCTATTGCCTTGAATAAAGATAAATTGATTATGGAAAAGTAGTGTCACTTATCTACGAATATAAGAATATGATTGATTGTTCAATCAACTCTTGGATTCAATCTTATATCTATACACATTCACAAATTTACCTTGATTTTCTTACATGGTACTTCTGGAGTGGGACTAGAAGGTGTTCTGATCTTCGGCGACGGAGTGCAAGGCGGAGTGATGGGCACTTGAGTGGTTTTGACACTCAAATCCAATGGACTGGACGTGGTCAATTCCAGAGGTTCGCTATAGCGGACGTAGTGCTGGAACTGGAGCAAATTCGCGTCGAAACTTAATCTGTCAATGCCCGCTAGTCTTTGTAGGATCGTTGGTGGCGGTGGGTATAAGTGAGGAGACCTGGAAATGGAATTGAACTTTTTCAAAATGATCAGGCACCAATCACAGAAAAGTGGTTTTAAACTAATCAATATATGACATGTTGTATAGCATATAAGGTACTAACAAAATAATAATAATTAGAATCTTAACTTTGACTTAAACTTTTCTTCTTTATAAAGATTTTCAAGAAAATTTGAGATTTTTGATTAACAACGATTATCAACACTACAGTGTCTAGAAAACTTCAAAATGCCTCACCAGCAACAATCTCAAACCACTCTAGAACCGGTTCAATTGTACCAGTTATGGTCCAATCAAAATCGCTCCGAAGACATTAGAGTGCTCTATCATTTTCTTTAAAAATTGTGCAACAATCACTATTTCTACATAGTTACCCAGCTATAAAACACTAAACACTACACTCAAAAACTTCCTACCTGAACGCGGCAAATTCCATATCATGGTGAGGATAGCTCACGCGAGGCATCCCACACCGGATTCCACTACCGACTGACTGCTCTAACAACTCGCATTTCGGCTCTGAACTTAGAGCGGAAATCGTCGGCGGTTTTAAGCTCCCAATAGCTACGCTACCCCGCCTCGAAATTCTAAAGCTCGTGCGCTAGGTGGGACAAAGCTCTCGACGTTTATTGGCTCGGTGTACGAACGGTTCCTTCATTGGCATGAGGGGACGACTGTAACGGATTTTTGGGAAGATGCTGGCCGTCGTGATGCACCTTAGGATTTTTTTTTTCAGAGGGTTGATTTTTGTTTTTTGACTTTTGGGGTTTGAGAAGGCGTCGGGAATTTTTAGGATTTTTTTAAAGGGTTAGATCAAATAGAATGTCAGCTTTCTTAAGTCAAAATAGTTCAAAGTTTGGTAGATATATGATTCTGTCTGATGAAGAATAACAATGGACTGTCAGTAGAAGAACCCTCCACTGATCTTTGATTATCTGCTTGGTTGAATAATGATTTCTGACCAATGCATTTTAAAAGAGAAAGTTCAAGTTCTTGTTCAGTCTGTTTTTATAAACATGTTGGCTGAAGATGCATTTACAGTGTCGATTTCAATTTCCAAGAAATTTCTACGCAAAATCCTGGCACATCTCTTCTTACAGAGTTTCTTGTTATGGCTTCTTGGATGTTGACTGTCACTGAATTCAAACACACTCAACTGGCACTTGGAGTGTTCACTAATTATTTTGAATGTCTCCACTAAATCCCCAGTCGTTCGTCTCTCATAAAGTGTAGGGAGGTTCAGTCTCTATAGCCATTGTTGCTATATGGAAGGTCATGGAGGGGAATTTTTGTTGCTCTGCGTTGGATTTTTTCAAATGCTTCAATATATTTGACATGATAAGGACTCCATAATATGTTTTGGGCATACTCCAGCCTGGGCCTTGTGTAAGCCTTATACAGTTTGGGATGTGGGATGCTTTGGAAATGAGGCCATTGATAATGTTTTCCCACTTCATTTTTTCAATGGCAACAATTCCCAAATCATTTTGTTCAGCAACATAGATTAGCTGCGTAAAGACCCAATGAAGTATTGCATCCTGGGGTTGTTTTTGCCCAGGTGAATTGAACACTTGAAGTCATTCAGTGACATTTGCCAGGTATCACAGGAATTTGATGTCATGGACCCTATCCTGTCACAGAACTGTCGATCTTGCAGAAAATCTTAAATTGAAATATTTATATAAAATATGAATATTTCCTTCATATTTCCTAATAATACCTTGATATATCCTAATAATACTTCGATATTTCGTAATAATCCCTGGATATTTCTAATAATACCTGGATATTTCTTGATAATACCTCTATATTTTTAAATAATACCCCGATATTTGTGGAATTATTAGCGCATGTAACATAATGAGCGCAACCGAACAGTCACAATGCCCCTTTTGTAAATAAACTTCAGTATTCGTTATTAACTCAGAAAATAAACTCTAAAAGCCTGATTTATTAACTTCACTGTTAGGCAACTTATCTTTCCGAACCACATAGTTCCACCTTGGTAAACTTTAAAGTCCACCGTCGTTAATCAATCAAATTAGACAATTTTTGTCATGTATTGTCATGTTATACAAAATAAAAAATTTGGGATTGAAGTTTATCAGTTTGTACTTTCAGAATTTTCTCCACTCTAGTTTGCTTCTCAGAGATTACGGTTTGCATTCATTCACACTGAGATCTTTTCTTCTTTCCTGAAGCCGGTCTTTTCTTTCCTGAAGCTGGTCCTGTTCTTCTTGTTTTTCTTTCCATATTCTTATTATGGTAAAAATGCTACAAGCAGGTCCTCTTGTTTCTGACTTCTTGTTGTTTTTTTTTTCTGTCTTAGGGCTTCTTGTAATTGCTGCAAGCCGGTCTTGTTCTTCTTGTTTTTCTTACCGTCTGTGGACTCTTTCTTCTAGTCTTTCCTTTTGTCTTCGGTCTTCCTCTTAACTCTTGTCTTCCAAATTTTTCTATGAAGTCCGCCAAGATTTGATTAACTTGCTCCATTTCGAATACTGTCGGTTTGCTGTCCTGTATTTACCATATAATAGAATATCCTGCATAAAATAGAACACAATGGCCATGTTCTAGAAAAATCACATTGTGGACTTTTTTTTGATATCGAAGTTAGTAATGAAGTAACTATTCTTGTATCACTTACGGTTTCCAGATAGAATTTCAAAAAACCAAATCATTGAACGTGTTCAGAAAGGAGACTTGAAAATCTGGCTTGAAAGTCTTGAGAGATGCTTGAAAAATATCTGAAGAAACTTAGAATTAATCTGATACTACTTTCACATATTCTTTACTTTTAAACTCAGTCAAAACTGTTTCCAAGTTGTTCAGAGTTGCTTCGAAAGCATCTAACCCATCTGAAGTCTGTGAAATAGCTGCAAACTGTTCAGAAATGCTTTTAAAGTAAGTAGTGGTTACATCACCTAAGTGAGAAATGTATAAGTCTTGAACCAAGAAATCTGTTTATGTAGCAATAAAATTACTTAACAGAAGAGGCTAGCAATTCTCATATAGCAATTTTCATGACTGTTTTATCTTGGTTTCGAGAAAGTTATTTTAGTTCCTGTGTAATTCAAGTGGTCATTTTCACAGTTGCTTTCCAATTGCTTGTACTTAATATGAATTGGATTTTCGTGAGATTTGAGAAATAAAATCCTTCTGCAATCTGCAATTTTGATTGGTTTTAATTTGTGTCTATAATAACATTAAGGTCGGATTAAAAATAAGGGAGTTCTGAGGCAAAGATTGAGATTTTAAAGACGAAGTTCATATTTATAAAATTAACATTTAGTTTGTACTTCAATTCTTGTAAGTAGGTACCAGTACCAGTTTCTGATAATTCAACAACTGTTTGGGATTTTATAAGTTTTTGAGCGCCAGGATCATTATCTTGGAAATACTTCAAATGTATAGGCATTCTTCAATGAAAATTGCACCTAGTTCTCTCATGGTGCAGAGTGTAAGTCTTTTTCTGTTATCCGAAAATTCTCAAGAGGGGATGATACTAATATCAAATTGCCTCAATCGCTGAAAAAGTAATCCTTCTTCATAGCTATTATTTGGAATGTTCCAGAGAACTTTTCATTCCAATAGAAGGAGGTACTTTAACGTAGGTACATCAAATCTAAGCATCAATCCAATACAACTCACCATTAACCAGAAAAAAACTCTGAAAACCTACTGACTAGCTGGAACAACTTTAGAAGTGGTGTGGAAGAGAAACTAGTTAACTCAGTAATGGTGAACTTCCCAAGAAAGAAAATTCAGAAGCGAGAGGAAAATCATGTCTGTGGAGGCAATGGACATAAATAATGAATAAACTGGCATCCTTTGAGACAATACCAGCTCTATGAACATCCAGGCAAAAAGTAACAATAATGAGATTGAACTTGAGAGGACATCAAGAGGACTAAAGAATGTATGATGAATTCAAGTTTTCCAGGGTTCAATTTAAATCCAGTTTCACTATCAAAAGTTAAGGTTGATTCTTACACTGTTCAAATGAAAACCTTTTCCATAAAATTGGCCCTTATTTAAAATAAAAAAACTGTCAATCCAAATGATGGATTTAAACGAGTCTATATATACCACCACTGGTTGAATCTCCACATTCTACGATCCGTAACGGTTTCACGGGGCCACCAAACATTTTATTATATACGGATTCCCTAGGCAGATGGCCATTTACACCCTCGATAAATTAAATATCGGGGGAGTTTTGATATTAGAGCGAAGCCCTCCGGGATTTTTTATGTTTTTAATTGTATCGCAGCGGTTATTTACTGTAATAGCTTGAGTGAAATATTTTCCTGCCCGAACGGTCGCCTAATTTTTAATGGGTTTCCGTTATAGTTTTCCGTGGATTTATGCCCGATCACTTCCGCTAGTCAGACATGCGAATATCGTATGGGGGCCAATAACAAACCCGTGTTTGTTTGTATTTCAATTTTTTGATCCAGAATAAACCACCTCTGAGAAGCTTAAAGACGCACAAAAGGAAATCCTTTTGTGTAAAGTTGAAATTCTAAAGAACTTGCGCCCCCATCAGGAAATGTCTTATTATATTATTTTGTCACGGAGCAGAGGCTATTATTAAAGCTTCTTGTTACGGTTTAGGTTTTTAACACCTGTTGTTACGTGTTTACAAGTGGATTATAATTTGACTTTAGAGTCAAACACAGATATTTTGGTTAGTGACAAGTCAATTTTGTCCTTGCAGTTATTTCAGCTCCATTTATTATTGGAGATTCGATAAAATGTCCTGATATTCCATTAACATTCTTTTCTCTATCAGCGTCATAAACTCTCAAACAGAGGGCAATTTTGGTACATTCTTCTGGTACATAATGGATACAATATTTTCAATCTTCATTCATCAATATGGAGAAAAAAATTGATCGCCCAATGCTACAAAAATGTGTAGCTAGCAAGAATATGAACGAAATAATTCCTTCTCTCTATCCAGTGCAATGAATTCAAAGAACAATTTCCAGATGTTTGCAAAATGCCATCTGCAATAATTCAAGATGCAAATAAATTTGATCCCCTCCTATATAATATGCCCGAAAATGTTTAGGTCACAGGTCACATTATACCCGGCGAATAAATCCGAAAATCGACAATAAAGCTATTTTATCTTCAAAGTGCATTGTGCAGCTTCTTCCCCTCTTCGGAACAAGAAACACCACCGGGTTTCTCTGTTTCGCAGCTGTCGGTTCTTTTGTTGTTCCTTTTCGGCATCGGCAGGGTGAAAAGTAAAGGGTGCCGGGCACGCGTTCTGATCACTTTTTACCTTCTCACCCCGCGACCCCTAGGGCGTTCCGTCTGGGGGTTGCACCCGGCTCGTGTCGCTTACCTGTCACTGATTTTGCGAAGAATCAATAGAATTCGATATGCAAAAATACTTCAGTCATAATTACTTATTTTAGTAGATCTTAT